GGGGGGGGGGGGGGCGACTAGCTAGATAGACAGTCAGCGTGAACTATATGATTGTTCTTGTAAATGGGGCCCTGACATACTCGGTTGCATGGGCAAGGAACTTGCCAAAACCGGATATATAACACGAGTACCTCAGGTCTCACCAAATAGACCAACTGAAATGATGTGTCAGAACTCCACGAAAGCTTCAACAAGGGCACATTCATACCCGCCAAGTACCATAGCGGCAAATATTGTCTTAACGGCTGAGAGACAGACATTCTCGCAGGATTCTGGGGCACTAGGAGCTCCATCACCATTCACCACCGGACATTTTTTTCGTGGGCGGTGAGGGCACGATGCATTCTGAAAAATAAGGAAAAGTTTAGAACAACGTTTTCTGTTTGTGCTTGTATGCACAACTTGGGGGCACCCCCACGATCTAGGTGAGAAGGCAGAATCCGAGCATCAGCCTCTTCGGATGATTCAATCCCAAAGTGTCGTAGCGTTGTCTGCGGTGATCTAATGTCTATCGAGTACTAAACTTTGAAGAAACCGGGATAGACTTGCGACGACGACGATTTCTTGATTCCCCTTTTCATCCACTGAGTGTTCTCGTGCGAACGCTGTGCAACCAGTCCAGAGAATATGGAACGAAGGATCATTTAACGGAAATGAGACAGCATCGATACAACAACTGTTTCTTCCAGAAAAGGCATCAAAATATCACTTATCCCACGGGGCTCTCTTGGCTAATATCATGCACGCCTCTCACTGCTATCTTGCCAGACCCCCAAGAAGAGAAAGCTCAATGAGAAAGGAAGGTATACAGCATTTAACTCTGTGGTTTGAATTACTCATATACTACTAACCTTGGTCAGATATCGCGAGCGTCGTCTTTGAGAGGCGTAGTCGGAATGGGAAATTCTTAGAAGGACGATACTTCACAGGGCTGTTCGCCGCATACGGACTCATTATGCTAGAATAAGCATCATGATCCCAGGAGGCGTCGAATCATTGTACTCCACCAGACACTCGATAATTTGGTAACCTGGAATCAATGTCCAATACTTTTCGTGATATGATGAACTACTTCATCACACAAGAGTGATTCACATGAGAAGATATATCATTTAATTACGTACGTATTGGACATTTTGAGCGTCTTGAACATGGTATTGGAGAGGTTTAAGTCGAGAATCACAACTGTGATGGCATCTAGAACATTAATAGCGTAATCAAATCCAGTGCTGTCGAGAACAAGAACTCGAGATAAGGTGGGATGCGAAGAAGGAATTGGCAGAAGAAAAAGTATAAGTAGCCCGGCTTCCCATGCTTGACAAGAAGAGACTATCCGTTTATCCAGCACAGCCCAATAATTGAAACATTGAGGATACTAAAAAATATAAGGAAAAAAAACAGCCAGATCCAGAACACCACAAACATAACCCCAGTATCACAATGAAATTCACCACTACCCTCGCTGGCCTCGCCGCTCTCATCGCCAGCGCGGCTCCATCCTTAGCCCAGCATGCCACTTCGGCCACTGTCACCGGCTTCTCTGCCACTCGCAACGCAACCCATATCAAGTATGTTTTCCCTCCCCCATTCCTCTTCTCCCCTGTTCGTCTCCCCCTTTCCCACATACCCTTCCTCCCATCCAACAAACACCACACTAACACCTCAACACCAACCAAGCTACCGCGCCATCATCAACGTCAACCCGGAAAACGCCCTCGCAACCTTCACGCACTCCACGCCCGGCACCACCTTACCCACCAACAGCGGCGCGTGGACGTCCACCGACCCCAAACTCGTGCTGCGCTTCAACGTCGTCAGCGCCGTCAACCAGGTGCGCGTGCTGCTGAGCGATACGCATGTTGTGGGCAACACGGTCAATTTGGATTACTTTAGTCCGTTTTCGGATTGGCAGGGTGCGGGTGCGGCGGCTAGTGCCGTGTATACGGGGCCGGCTTCCTTTACGCTTACTTGAGGACGGGATCGATTTGGGGTGAGTGGTTGGAGTAAAAGTTGGGTGAGGGAATGGAGATGGAATACTTAGCAGGTGCAATGCTGTGAAATAGTATCTTGGGGAAACACGAGTGGGGGTATGTAGGGAAGGAGAAGGGGATAGATAGTGGAACTGGAGCGGTTTAGGAGACGGGGCTGAGAAAACAAGACGAGAAAACGCCTTTTCGGGTACCATGAAAATTCTTCTCGGTCCCGCGGATGTATTGAGAGCGGGATTTTGTAACAAAATGAATGTGCGGACCCTGAACTGTTGTTATGGGTGGTATCATCGTCCTCTCCATTCTTTCTTCGAGACTCGGGGGCGGCGGGAGCGCAAGCATTGTATGCATTCATGACCCACATGGACACTCGTCGATATCTCGCCAACCAAAGCTCCAATCCTTGTCATAGATAATGGATGTCGAAATGTAATATATAGAAGCCTCACTTCGCATATTTGTATGTTTTGTCAGGGTATTTTTCCTGTTACCAAAGGGGGCTACAGGTGCACTGTTGATCCCGCATATTTTTGGTCCCGCATATGTATGCACTGCATCCCAATGCTCGGAACACCTACGAATGAATAAAGTACAGCTGGTGTTTCATCTTCAGGAAATTTCCTTCCCAGCTTCCAATTAACTTACACAGTCGGGTTGGCTGCCACGGGTTGTGTAGCTCCGGCGCATCATAAGCCATGTATTATAACAGTGTTTATGCTACCGTTTCTATGCCCGAAGCAACGACGACGGGACCGGCGGCGTGGCTATGTAGACCCCAAGTACAAAAGCATGCACTTTGAGAGCGGTGAAGAAGATAGATGCAACGCACTCTGCAGTCCATGCATGCATCGATGGAGGTTCTTCACCGGCATTTCCGTTGGTGGAAATGATGCGAGAATCGAATCATCCACGACAACCAGATACAGTACCCAAACTACCGATACTTGCGCCGATCAGATACGCCGGATCACCAGAACACGTTCACGCTCCAATGTGCCCATGACGAAGCAAATGGCTCGAGAACTGCAACACCAAGCTTTTCAGGATCATGAAGGGTTAAGCATGCTAAAGCGACGAATGATATTTTCCACGAGACAGCAGCCCATGCTTCCGCTCAGTGGCGGCGCTTCCTTGAGATGGAAAATCGAAAGTCCGCCGGACCTGTAATAACGTCACAACCCCCTTGTCCCGTCCATTCGTTCTTTATCCATTACTACCTACACCAGACAATGCAACACATTCACTACCTGTACCCAGTCCCCGCCAACAGCGAGACTTTGCAAAAAAGCACCTTTGTCTTCCAATCAACCACCCCCTCTTCGTCCATTCCAACACCGACTCCAACAGTAGACCAATCACAGCAGTCTGATTGCCCCAACAGTAGATGACCAAAACATTTGCTTTCATCCAACAACCCCAACACTGAAACTCTCACAACCTCCAGATGGACTGATCACCTCAAGGCAGGGTGTCCCTCATTATGATCCGAGAACGGGTTGGGCGCTCCGCCCGTCGGGCTTCCGCTACCCGACCCACCCCTAACTCCCGCCGCACCACCATATCCCGTACCAGCCATATGCGGCGGCGGGGCCGGGACATCATCATACTCGTTGTTCAGGGGGACACCCTGATATCCACCACCACCCATGTAGCCCGCGTTACCGCCCATCAGTGGCTGCTCCAACATGTGCTCCTGCTCCTGCTGGTGCTGGTCGAGGGCGGGGGCGGTAGCAGTGCGCTTCTTAGCAGCCATGGCGCTAGACTTGGCCTCCTTCGCAATCTTGGCCGCCTCGGCCGCGCGCTCGAGCTTCTTCATAGTGCGGCGCTCGCGGCAGCAGAAGAAGCACAGGCCGCAGACAGCCAAACCGATGGTGGCGGCGAAGTAGATGGCCATGACGATGCCGGCCGTTTCGAGACCGGACTGCTTGTACATGCAGCTGATCTGGCCGCTCGAAGCGGTTTGGCAGATCAGGCCCTCGACGCACACTTCGACGGGCACCGAGGTCTCAAAGCAAGACAGCAACTTGCCCGAGGCGGTGCCGGTGGATTGGGTCGGGCACGACTGGATCGAACTCTCGGACGTGGTCAGGCAGATCACGGGTGACGAGGACCGCTTGGTGCCGGCGACGGCACGGGTTTCGGTCGTCTCATCGGCGCGGGGCAGGATGGCTGGGGCGGTGATCTTGGTCTTCATGAGGGCGACATCGGGCTCGACGACGGGCGCATCAGTGACGGCGGCGCGGGCGACGGCGATGGACGCTGGCTTGGCGGGAACGACGGGAATGCGCAGGCGGTGGTTGTAGAAGGCACCCTTCTCGGAGCGAGAGCCCAGCTGATGATGGGGGTGGGCGGCGGGCCCTCCGGAGCAGCGCTTGGCGGCGTCGGCGATCTGCGCGGGGGTTTCCTCCTCGTTGCAGCCAGAATCGATGTAGCATTTCGTCAGGGTCTTGAGATAATCGGGGTCGCCAGACGACATGGTGGTGGGGAAGGTGGAGAAGTAGTGGTTGAGAGCGCCCTCATCACCGCAGGCGGCCATGACGGCCAGCTCGTGGCTGCGCAAGTGCAGGCATTCTAGACCGGGAACTTGCTGGGCCGAGGCAGAAACCGGGGAGAAGAGAAGGAGGGAGAGGGAAGCCAAGGCGGCGAGGGACGACTGCTTTGTTGTTGCCGCCATTTTTCTTCTTGTTCCCGTCACAGGCTGGTTACTCGACTTGGCAGGCGGACGGGCGGTCGTCGGTCGGGTCGGATCGAGCCGTAGGTAGCTTGATTGCTTCCAAGTGCTCTCGAATGGCAGTGGCGGTGGAGCTGGCAACTGGAAAGCTGAAGGCGGGATCTTCAGGTCGGCTTTCCTGTTCCTGAATGAATCTGGTGATTGTTTGGTTGTGCGCCCGAAACACACGAGGTTTGGTGATCCCAGTAGGCTGTGCGAGGTTGACGAGTTTTTGGAGATCGGAAGGGCTGACTGGTGGTTCGTCGTCCCAGGTTTTGCAGGTGTTTGGGGGGTGATGCCCGTTGGCCCAGGGATCGATCGGCACGTTGCAGGCAGGACGGGAATGTCGTAGGGATCAGTGGAGATAGATGCTGAAGACTGTCAACAACGACACAACAAAGTGAAGCTGTCGCCGTCTCTCCCCTCCTAAGATGCGTCGAAAAGGATACGGTATTGATGATGGTGGATCAGGAATGGAAGCAGGAGAGAAATGGTAGCAGACGGCGGCGTGTGTCTGAGAAATGGAAAAAGCCCGGTCAGCTCGAACATGTTTGAGCGAACGAACCCCTGCAATTCCAGAGCGACCGCCTCCTTTTCGCTCCTTTTTTCCCCCCTCCCCTTGCCCCCCGGTTCTCGACTCGACGACGGGACCCAGAGACCCCGAAAGGACCAAACATTGCTTGACAGCGATCTCCCCAGTGGGCATCGGTATTCCCAATACATACCGCTCGATAGGACCACAACCCCCATGTAACATCAGCCCCTGTAGGTATGTAGCCTCAAACACCACCAACAAACACACTTTCACGATAGCATCCTCGCGCATCCGACAACCTCAAGGCTCTTTACCGCCCATCCGCCCGTGCGGTTCTCGCACTATCTCAGAGAAGCAACCGCAACGATACCCGGCTGCTTGTCTATACATAGGACAGTAATAATCCTGTCAAACTCAGATTTGGGGGTTTGGACAGGGATCCCTCTCTCTCTCCCTTCTCGCCTTTGCTCCCAGCGAAATTGAAAAGAGGCTTGGCATACGAGCTGAAGGTCCCCACATGGGGAGCACTGCACGGTCTCAGATGCGTCGTCCAATCAGAAGAACAGCGTGAATCCACATGGTCCCCTTTTGAGCTCAGTTTTGCCTAGCCTTTTGCTCCGTTTTTAGCTTTCCGTTTCTTCCAGTATTCACCAAGTAGTACTATTCTTGCTCACAGTGTTGATATCCATCATCGGGGGTTCATGATCAGAATGACCTAAGGCATGAGTAAAAAGATGGATTTTTGTGATCAAGGACGGCCAAAATTTCTGAATATGAACGGCTCCACGAACGAACAGTCTGGACTTATTCCATCCTTGCCCAATCAGCCACTGGGGACACAACGGGAAAGGGGAGCGAATCATCTTTATCGAGCAGCACACATAGGAGTGGCTGAGCCGGACCATCCACCACCAACCTGAACACTGGCATACTACATGGAAGAAGTGTATCGAGTTTCAACGTTTTGAGACGGGAGCCAGCAAATATCTCCTTGCTTTGAATTGTACAGTAGACAGCCTGCCTAAGTAGCTACCATTTCGCTTCCATGTTCAATATGCTGCTGAACAAAAAAAAAAAAGATACAAACGACAACCACGGGAGAACATTGGGTATGAGCCTCATCGGCGTTCTCCTCCTTTAATAACAAGCCAGTACCGAGGACAAGAAGAACATGCCCGTTCTCCCCTCGCATCATTGTTGTTGTCTGATGAATACTTCGCTTCCTCCTTGGAAAACCGACAACGAAAAAGAGATAATGCTTACTTGAAATGCATATGTTGCTTACAAGCCGTCCAACACTAGCCGGCCTTCATAACCCTCATTGCCCATCCATATAAGGCGGCTGATTCACCTACACCCGTACCCATACACAGCCAAGTCAAAACCTTCTTCCCATCGGCCTTCATCACCACGCCCACGTTTTTCGTTCCGGGTTCTTCCGTTGGCCTTGCTGATTGCTTGCGCTACGGCCAAACGAACTATCACCTGGATTTCCTTGCCCAACAGCTGTACGTGTTCTACCAAACCGGAAAGCATCTGGATTGTCCTGTCTCTGCGCCACAGGCGTAGTTGATACCGAGGAAGATCGGCCCTGATTTCTGCCAAACGCAAAACTATCTGGACTATCCTGACCTTGAGCCACAGCTGTACTTGGTTGTGATTGCCAACCGCTAGCGATTTGGGAAGTAGAAGACGGCGAGCGGCCCTGATTTCTGCCAAAAAAAACTTTGTTTCGATTGTTCTGTCCTTGAACCACAGGCGTAATGGTGCGCGACGAGGGTTCCCTACTGTTGCCAAACTGGGGACTAGCTGAAAACCTGGCTCCTGCAACAGATTCCGAACGCGATAATCGGCGCCAAGATTGATCACCATCGGACTGGTTGTATAGGCGTGCTGGATCGGAGCCTAGAGTCATGCCTGTACTGCGTTGGTCTATATTGTCCCCCGAAGACCGTACATAGTTTTGCACTCCTTCAACATCCGGCTTCGTCTGTGTTCGCCCTTACGCATCTCGAGTTCTTTGCAAACATGTCTGGCGAACTGCACTCTGATCAGTGCCTGTTGTCCCGCGCGGCTGCCGTAGCTCTCCTTGCCCGGCCGAATGCGATGTTTTATCTTCCTATGATCCGACATGAAATGAACCTGAACCGACGATCGGGCTGCCGATATCTCCGGGATGTTTGATAGGGCCATATGGAGCTCGTGAAGCGTCATCGTCCGGAACATAGCGAATGAGCGGGCTTCCACTTGGCGACAATGGGTCCCGCACAATAAAACTCCCCCCGCCATTGGATGGGTTTCCTTCCGTATCGCAGATATCAAGAACTTCTTTCTCGTTCACTGTAAACTGCTTCATATGGGCCATGATTTCCCCCAACGGGATGAACCCATCGTAACTCGAACTACTGCCAGCGCCGAGATCTTCGCATACAGCACAGAGCGACTTGCGAAGTGTCACAGACCACGGGGCACTACGCTCCACGATGGACGGAGTTCGGCCCATGATTCCGGGCGGTGCCGCCTGGCTCCATGGTCCGTGATGTGACGATGACGGGAACCCCGGAGGCGGCGGTACGAATGGGTTGTGTTGAAGTGGAGGTACCGGATTCCACGGGCTGTTCTGGTGTGGCAGTGAAAAACCGGTTTCCATCCCAAACGGTCCCCCACCAAATCCAGGTGCAGATCGAACCCCGGGCGCAGACGTCCCAAGCAGACCAAAATGAGACCGGGCAGGAAAATCCTGCTGAGTGTCATCAGGCTCGAGCAGTGCACTGCTTCCGAGATGTACTTCTTGTTCCGCCTGATCGGTTCCGTTAGTCGAGAACTCGGGTGATCGTCGCTGGCCATGGACCACGCTGGCCGGTCTTCCTATGGGCGTCGGCCGGCTGATGGGCTGACTTGAAGAGCCGACAGGCCCGATTTCGAAGCTACCGGAACCCTGACGAGTGTGAGACGGCACGTTATCTTTGCCTAGCAGTGAGCTCAATCCAGCTGGCAAGCCTGCAAAGCTTGACACTGGTGAATCCAGGGGCCCGGGGAATCCAGGTGAATGCATCGACATTGCCCGCCCGCCTAATGGCGCAGAAAAACCCGGTGGCGCCGCCATCATCCCCGGTGCCACTCTGTTATAGCTGTTGGCAGGGTTGTAGAAAGGAGGATATTGGGGTTGCATGTGGTTGCTGAAACCAGGCGGGGGCTGAGGAGTTGGTTGGAATGGCATGTTCATCGAGGGGCCGCCAAAGGGATTTGCCTGGGATTGAAGTGGTTTGGAACCCGCGTTGACGGTCGTTGAAGGGGCGGGGGACGGTAAATGTACCCCACTGCTTTGTGTCCCGCTCACAGCAACCCCGGACTTGCTGTGTGGTTTCATGGGACCAGGACTCGTAAGTACTGGTGTTAATGTGTGCGGAGAAGGATTTTGGCTAGCGGCTGATCCCGGCTGAGATGTTGGTCCTGAAGAAGTTGTGACACTTTCTTGCTGGTGTATTTGACGACTCTGAGCGGGGGCTGGCACCTTTGGAAACGCCGGGGTGGCGACGGGAATGACAGGCGAGGCATATGCTGCAGGTTGTTGAGGTAAGGCTGGTACTGCAGCCGGCACAGAAGTCTGGATCGGCTGAGCAGGCCTCTTGGGCAGAGTGATGGGCACAGGCGCGGTGGTTGCGAGAGCCGCAGCCTTCTGCGCTGCTCGGTCTTCCTGCTTAGACTTATCCTTGGCCGCCTTCGCGGCCTCCATCTCCGCCTTGGCTTTGGCCTCCCTTTCCCTCTTCTCGCGCTCCTGCCGCTCCTTTTGTTCCCTTGCCTCACGTTCCTTTTGTTCACGGGCCTCCTTCTCTTTGAGACGCGCTTCTTCGCGTGCTTTCTTCTCCCGCTCTCGAAGCTCTCGCGCTTTGCGCTCGTTCTCCTCCCGCTCATGATTGCGTCGTTGGCGTTCAGCTTCCTTACGCCTTCGTTCCTCTTCCTCCGCCTTCTTTTGAGCCTCTTTCTGTTTCCTCTTTTCCTCTTCTCTTTGCCTTCTCTGTTCTTTTTGCCGGTCCTCCTCGGCTTTCTTCGCTTTCTCCTCAGCCATCTTTTCCTCTTCACGGCGTGCCTTCTCTTCAGCCTGAAGCTCTTTTTTCCTCGCCTGCCGTTCCTTCTTCTTTTGGGCTTCCTTCTGCTTTTTGACCAGGCGTTCTTCGCTTCGTCTTTTCTCGTCGGCTAGTTCCTCGAGCAGCATGTTTTGCCGTTCCCTAGCGACCTTTTCACGGTACGCAGTAAGTACCCGCTGCTCGAACATCCTGGCGGCAAAAATCTGAAACATCCGGCGGCCTTCTTCCATACGCTGCTCCTCGGTCATGGTTTCCTAGATAAGAGATTAATGACTCAACACTCCCCCAAACGGTGCGACACGTAGAACCCATACCTCTTCATCTTGACTGTCGTACTCTTCCTCCTCGTCATCATCGTAATCCTCGTCGTATTCTTCGTCGTCTACCTCATCATCGGCCGGGGGGTGATAATGGGCATTGCGGTCGCCGGTGGAGTGAGAAAAGGGGCTACCGAACTGGTCCCTCGCATCCTCCTCGCGAGCCATGCGTCGCTCGGCGAGTTGCTCCATCATTTCGATGAACTTTTTGCCGTCATTCTTCAGCAGGTCGTCGGCAACGGTTAGGATCCCGCCTAAAGAAGATGAGCCATAAGCGTTATTGCTAGTTCCCGGAGAGGGAATACTCTGTAGAAAAGACGGAAGAATGGGGAATCTGTCCCTACCCTGCACAGTCAGGCTATTTCCGAAATTAAAAAAGTCTGCCGGGTAGTCGGATCGGTGCAGTTCTTCTGAAGGCTCATCATCACTATAGTCATCCTCGTCCTGCTCATCCTCGCTGTACTCTTCCTCAACCTCTTCCTCCTCGTCATCTTCTTCGGCACCATGGTCGACGATTTGCGCATGTGATGGCTGATGGTGACTTGAATAGCTTGTCGGGAGGCCACGCGGGCGCATACCTGTCATGGAGCCGAACGAGGGGCGTCGCCCCAACATCGGAGGCGCTTCGCCCTGATTGGGATGGTTTGCGTACTGTTCCAATTCCTCGTAGTAAGCATCGTAAAGGCCCTCCAGCTCCTCTTCGATGGCCGTCCGCTTCCTCCCACACACAGTGCAACTGCATGTGTGCTTCTGCTGCTCCTTCATCTTCTTGAGCACAGCATCCTTCTCGACCCTAACCAGCTCCTTGCGTTCTGTCTCGCTCAACCCCAGCCAGAATTCTTTGATCCGCTCCCTCTCCTCCTGAGAGCTAGTGTTCCAAATCTTTTCCTTTGATATGCCCGGGCGCGGATGTTGGGACAATTGGGGCGCAGGGACATAGGTGTCATGTTGAAGACTGTTTGGCAGTTCAGCCGCATTTTGACCAGCATGGCTCTTTTTCTTCTTTTTCTTGGACTTTTTAGAACTTGTAGTCGCCCCTTGCGCAAAGCCATTCTCGTGGATATTCGATGCCCGCGAATCTCTGCGATTATTGAACTCTTCCAGATGCTCATCGTGGCTGTCGTCGTGATCGGCCTCTGTAGATTGCTGCGCGTGCGACGGAGAAGGGCTCGGAAAGCCATTCGAGGGTGCTGGGTTAGCTATGCCTTGCGTGGCAGCCGCCTTTGCCGCAGCCTTTTGACGCCGCTTTGCTTTTTTCTTATTGACAGGTTGCACCTGTCCCTCCGCCTGACCTAACCCATGACCTTGTGTATGCGAGGTAGATGCCGATTGTGGACCGGGAGCAGCATTCGCAGCTGTGGTGATCATCGGGGACGGCTGGGCCGAGTCGGCTGGGGTTGACCCCTTGGGAACCGTAATGAACTTGGATCCATCTTTGTTTGTGTATTTTGCCGTGGCCTTGGAGGTGGGCGACTGCGGGGCCAAGGGCGGCGGTGGCACCAAAGGGTGACGACTGTTACCCTTCATGGTTTGACTCTGGTATCAAGAATGAACGACGCGAGCAGATTCGAGGATCGGGCACATGCAATTCCGTGCGACGATATCGGAGGGGCAAGGGTCCGGCCGAGAACTAAAATTGAGGACAAAGTAAGCTCCAAGCTGAGAGAGATGTGAGGCGGTTGGGCTACGGCGCCGCAGATCGGATAATCGGGTGGGCAACGAGATGACCGAGTGGATAATATGCAGTGTATGAAGACGTGAAGCCAAGCACGTAGCTCGCGAGAATAGAGCAACGGCGATTTGGCGTTGTCACTGTCGTGGTGGTTGGAAAAGAATGGAATGTAAAAGCGAGTCCTGGTTTGAGCTCGAGGCAGAGAGAACTGGTTGGTGTGACTAGGCGGCTGGGAGGGGTTGATGTACCACCGCTAGCTTGAGTAGCGATGATGATGTACCTCGCTGTCGCTATCTTGGCCGAAAAGTGCGGAAAGGGAGACTCGCGGGTGATGTCGATGGTGGGAAAGAGGGAGCACAGATTGGTGCAAATGGTGCATAGGTAGGTAGAGAGAAGTAGTAGGCAGGTAGTAAAATGCGATCTGAAAGATCCGCGACTTGGGGACCAGGCGAAACTCACGTAAGAGAGGTAACGGGATTAATTAACGAAAGGGCAGCCCGCTACAACGAGTAGAAGGCGCGCTTTTGAATAAAAAAAGACCCGGCAGGGCGTCACGATAGGGTACCTCTAGTCTGGGTGCCAGGGGAAAGAAGAACAGCCGCGTCTGTCAAGATCATGAACAAGCTGGAGACTGGAGGAGATAGAAGGCAGCGGGTTGAAAGGTAGAACAGCAAGCAACGAGCAGCTAGGTACCAGGCCTGCCGTGGAGACGATGCGATTGGAACTGAAGTGGAACGCGGCACCGGCAACTGAAATGATGCATGAAGTGGATTGGGCGAGCAGAGCGGGCAGGGTCGGCAAGCCTTCCACCTTCCCCTCACAGCGCGAATGTGGCTCCTTCGGCCACTGCTCCAGTGTGCTGTTCGGATGTTTTCAGATGCCGCTTCCCTGCTGCGTCGCGTCTTTCGTTGCCTTCATCGAAGCTGGGTCGGGTAGCCTCCAAACTCCACACAGCGAGAGAGCCCCAGACTGAAGAACGAACCCCACAGATTTTCATTGGTGAGCCACAGCGAGGCTGACCATCACGTGCTGTCAGCAAAGCATCATGCCCCTGACGGATGATGCTCCGTCGCCAAATGACGGACGCTCTGATCCTCGAATTCATCGTTTCCACTCATTGCGCCAAGCGACAGTCTTATCGATAAGACAGCTGTAACTTCCAGATTGTACCTCTACGTACCACTTGAGGCAGTTGCACAACTACTTACAAGTAGAACGATTTCGTGACGGCCACCAAGGTGCATTTTCTGGATTTATTATTCGCGTGTACAATCCAGTGCTGGTACATGATGTTTCTAGCCAAATCGGTTGTAGTCACGGCCCTCTTGGCCAACGGATTGGTAATGGCAACATTGTTATGCAAGCATATATGAGACGCTCTTTCTATCTCAGTTTCCACTATGCGTTATCTTTGGCCCCATTCCTAAGCGACACAGAGGAACCAAACGTCGACGCATCCCCCAAAATCTTTATTGGCAGAATGAACAGCAGGTTGCCTTTGGAGAGATGTGTTCTTTTCCAGATTCGCTGCTAGCCGGGTTGCACTAACAACGAAGCATGACTCTCTTGCGGGTTGGTGTACCGTAAAGCTGTCACCAAGAACCTTCAATCCCATCTTCAGTCGTCTTAGACAACCAGTAGGTTTTGTTTCCATAGGCGTGCCTGTTTCCCACGCATGACAGCCCGGGAAGAGTCAAAGCCCGTGGGCGCCGTGACTTGAACCTCCCAAACGTGTCGACAGGCCGCCTCGCCGATGACAAAAAAGCCGTCACCTTGAGTTCCGCTGATCGCCCATGTAGTACCCGAAAAAATGCCACCTTCTTTGTTAGGTAGGGATGAGGCCGCGTTCAAGCTGTCATTGCCAAACAGAAGGTGGCATCATGTCTGCCAAGAACCAGGGTTAGGGTCATTTTACTTGGTTTGTTTACTTACCCCTGAAATATTTGCTGTATCTTTGAGAGCGACGACGATGTGGACGAAAAGCTTTCTGTCTTGTGGTTTGGTAATGTCGAAATGCTCAACGCTGAAATGGCGCAGAGTTTGGAGTGAAGCGGATCGAGTCAGAGGGTAATTGGCTTTGCTCATCATAAGCAAGACATGGTTCCAAACTGATGTCAGAGAGGTGAGGATTTTCAGTCTGGCACAAGCCTGGAGATGTTGCAAGTGATCGAACGTATCTCCTACCTCGTAAACCCATACAATCGGGCTGGCCGTCATCTTGTCTGGTTACCGTAACCCATGATTCGATATCTTGTGAGCAAAAGGGACCGAAGCATAAACACGGCTGGAAAGTTGAGCTCTTCGAACGGACTTCTTGCCCGGAAGGGAACACTTGACCAGGAACCCTGAAGGACAAATTCCCTTACCCCGGAAAGTAAGTTGACCTTGACTGGCCATAAAGTGCCGGGAAATGTCGTTTTGGGGACCTTCACGTTGGATTCTCGATGCTGGGCTCCGGAGAAAGTGGGTACATAGTGGGCAGTAAGCGGCTTGCGTGCGGATCGCCTCAGCCCCGAGCCTCAGGGGGGCGGTCGTTTTCCGAAGCGTTAATTAGTGCACAGCCTTGGTATCGCCCAAGCTTCAGCGCTGCAATAACCTATCAGAAACGATCGTTACGCCCTGACATGCTTGACATTCGAGCAGCGCGCGACCGTTTATGGCTGTGATGGCAAGCACAAGCTAGAAGTGGAAGCGGCCCACCCGTCAACACGAGGTAGGACCGCTCTTTATTTGTATCTTGCCAGCATCCCGCAAAGGGAAAAAGAGTGACGTCTCATCACACCATGAAAGAGTCTCGTGAGAGGCAGAGAAGACTGCGCAGACTTGGGAAATGTCCTGATGTGGGAGGTTGCTGGAGGTGAAGGAGGGTAGGACGACGGTAGGACTTGGTGCAACAGACAACTCAGGACAGATCCTACACGTCCACATCCTGCCCGAGTTTGGCTGTTCGTTGCTAGGAAGGGCCGTCGCTGTCATCCGGAAAAGGGAACCAAGAACAGCAATCAGGGGGCCCTGCATCGCTAGAGATAGTAGCGGCAACACACCAAGCATCGCTACATTGGACAATCTGATGTACCGTGCCTGGGAATCGTGGATTTGTGTGTCTCCAAATGTCTCCAAATGTCCCCGTCGCGGCGACAGGGATCGGACCAACACCAATCTTGAAGCAAACCAGGCCGGCCGGAGACGAGCTTTGACAAGCCTGTCGGTAACTGTAGTTTCGACTGTGTTCGTCGCTGCTGTAGTGGGTGGGTGTAAAGAAAAAGGCGTAAGCTGTGGTGTCTTTCAGTTTGGTTCATCTGTCCATCGATATGGTCCTGGGATTGTCGGCACTTCCATGGTCGGGACATGGATCGTGAACAGTGACTGAACACTGAAGAGTGAGAGAGAGAGTCGGGTGGAGCCCAGAGCCTGGACCATGTACTACGTACCTACCTACCGACGTAGTACTGTACCTACGACACACGCACTTGCCTACACCGTTACCTCTAGGAGTCCGGCGTCTCGAAGCCTCACTGCCAGGATGTTTATGTCAGCCGCCGTAATTCATCCCATCAAGGCAGGGGCAGTTTCCTTTTCAGATCAATCCCAAATGCAATTGCGGAACTCCTTCAAAGCGAGAAGCGCCCCCCGTCCTTGATCAGCAACTATCAACCGTTGTTTTCCCCTCAAAATTTCCCGCGAAACCACCACCACAAGTCCAAGTCCAGGATTTCAGGCAGGCACAGTCTACGCTCAATTCCACTTCTCCTGTTCCGTACAAGTTGCCGACTCCTCACTTCGGGCAGTCCTGGCACGGTACTCCCCTCGGTCTGCTGCTGCTGCTTACCAACCTACCTACCTTATCACCCGGGTTACCAACGAACGACGGGAGCACTGCCCTGACACTGCTGGTCGCGGTCACTGTCCAACCGCTCCGCTAGCTGTTGCGCGCAACTACCACCTACCGGGCACTTCCACTACAGTTCCAGGTCCATTTCCAGTTCAAGTCCTGTCCCTATTCATCCTCACTCCCAACCATCTAACTTTTTTTTTTTTTCCCTGAGCTTTTCCACCTTTCTCTCCTCGTCTCTAATTACTCCTCGCTTTATCCCACCTATTCGTCCAATTCTGCCGTCAACGCGCACGCGCTCTACTACTCTCTCGATTGCATCGCTCGTCTGCCGCTTGGCCTCTCGCAAGCCTGCTGGTACCTCCAGGTTGACCGCCCCTCTAACGCATCTTCTCGTACCTCTCTACCCGACATACTCTCGACCAACCCCCAACTGTGTGTACAGTTGCAACGGCGACGACTCCAATCCCGAAACGCAATATCCGATAGATCTTCATCGATAGCAATTCGCAATTGAATAACCCAAGAGCATCGCCTACCACACACCGTCGACAGCGCAGAGACCCAGGGGGCTCGAGGTCCTCTCAGGCGAAGTGAGCTTGGTTTGGACAAACACAAGGCTCAGGATATTTACAGCCATTACCCAAAATGGCATCAGGCAGCCCTCAGAATGTCATCCGCAGGTAAGCTAGCACCTGTCCTGCTTGGGCTTTGCGATTCGGGAAATGATGGAGAAGTACGGGACCGAATCAGTCCGACCCAGAGTTCTTCGAGTGACCGAATTGGAACACCAAACCCCTTCCCCGCCGTTGTGCTGCACCAGCCTCCAGAACAGACACACACCAGCAACTGGTTGCCTTGCCAATCTGCAGACGCTAATCCTCCGTATGATATAGGAAACTCGTCATCATCGGCGACGGTGCTTGTGGAAAAACCAGTCTACTGAGCGTCTTCACTTTGGGTTTTTTCCCAGCCGTAAGTTATCGCATCCGATCCCGCATACGCATATGCCCTCCTGTTATCCGTACCTTTGAATCAATGGCTAACGTGTATCTGCGCGGGAACAGACATATGTGAGTACTTGTTAAAGCCGCCGGTGAAACCATATGGCGGCACGGGCCTACGGCGTCCCCGTGCCCAATGCTTCCTGTGCTCTTGAGCATATTACATGGACAGCCTCCAACACGCTCGTCCTAATACTCGCTGTCCATGTTCGCGTCGTGCTAACCGATAACAATATTCAATAGATCCCCACCGTGTTCGAGAATTACGTTACCGACTGCCGAGTAGATGGCAAGTCGGTTCAGCTAGCGCTATGGGACACAGCCGGACAAGAAGACTATGAGCGATTACGACCACTAGCATACTCAAAGGCGCATGTCATTCTAATAGGGTTTTCGGTCGACACGCCAGATTCTTTGGACAACGTTAAACACAAGGTGGGTGGTTCGAGCGACGCATTGTCTCAGCAAATCATCAAGTCAGACCACTAACCAGGACCTCTCACAGTGGGTTACTGAGGCCAACGAAAGATGTCCCAATGTTCCCATCATTTTGGTGGGTCTCAAGAAGGATCTCAGGGGAGATCCAGTTGCCATCGAAGAAATGCGAAAGCGATCCCAACGATTCGTGATGGAGGACGAAGGCCAGAGGATAGCAAAGGAGATTGGCGCTCGAAAGTACCTCGAATGTTCCAGTCTTACCGGAGAAGGTGTTGACGACGTATTCGAGGCAGCCACGCGAGCGGCGCTGCTAACGTTTGAGAAGAAGGAAGGAAGTGGGTGCTGTGTGATTCTATGAGAATCCTGGGATAAGGGGACCCGTATGAATCCTCTCCATTCGCCATTATTCCTCTCGAACGATCGTGCGCAAGAATTCGACAACCAGCTCTGCTGTAGCAGAGACCAGCACAAGCAGAGCTGGGCGCGGATGACTGGTATATATGGCTTCGAACTCCGTATGGCTTCAAACTCGAAAGAGAACGGCAGTGGGAATCAAATCCACAAAGATGACTTCCCTTTTGGCTGGGAAGAAAAGAGCAGGGATCTACACTCACTTGGTTGAAAGGCTCCTCAGCTCAAACTCTGCGTAACTCGATAGACGCACACGCTCTCTCCGAAATCATTGAAGCCAGCCGACTTGAAGGGTTCGACCTCGCCTCACACTCTCTCCACATCAACCTCGCTGCTCAGGACATCGAATGTCGGGACGAAAAATGACCATAATGATCCACATGGGTTTCATTTTCACTCAGCCAGATGCTTCGGCAGGAGAACAGGACGCGGCACATGAGAAACTCATCCAGCCTTTTTCTCAGACATATCTTATGTATTAATATGGCTTTAGACTTTCCTTCGATTGTCACGGCTTTCTCGTGTAACTAACCAAACAGCGGGTTCGGATGACTTTGGGCAACCCAATGTGGCTGGCACATGTCTTACTGTCCGGGTTTCGTATCTCACACCTTTAGCATTATTCATTTTGCGGCTTGCGGTGAAATTTGGCATAATCTGTGTTATTTGGGTGTCAAAAAGGCAGAGCGAGACATGAACGGGGATTCCATCTTAGGTTTTCTATCCAAATCTTTACAACCCATGGAAACCGATTTCTGCAAAATAACTGAACTGGAATGGCCACTGATAGAAGGTCTGGAAAGAAGAACATGGTGATGGGAAAGAGGAACAAAGTTATCAGACGGCGGAGGCAATCATTGTTCTTGATACTCGGGCAGATCCAGTCGCAGCAAAATGAGTTGCAAAGAAGATAGAATTGTTGGTTAGATGCCTATTCTATGCAACTCGAAATTCCATATACATCAACATCTATCACTGCGTGACGAGGGACTGAAGTATGAACTGGAAGGTTGCTTAGGCTTGCTCATCCGAGACAAAAGTAATGAAACCTTTGACTGTAGACTTGGCGGGCGATCAGCCAACTGGGCAACCTAAAGCGAGCGGTCGTGAAAAAAAAAAAAATAATAAAAAAAATAATAAAAAAAATAAAAAAATAAAAAAATGCCGGATACGGATAGTCTGAGACCACTCTCCGCTCGTTGTAGTTAAGCTATGCCGTTACAAAACTACAATAGGGATTACGTGTAATTCAAAAACACATTGCCGAGGGTCTTTTAGGGATGTTTCAATTCGTAAATTGCCTAGAAGCTAGGTTTCAAAGAGACAACATAGACGCTCGAATCCGTGTTTATACCCAAGGTCTCATGTATAGACAATGACATGCTTGGTTGATTCTTGCGACTATTCGGCAGGCCAATCTGTGTCTCAACAACTTTGTCAGGGACGAGGCTTGGCTGCTGGATGCCAGCACGGCCATACTCAAAGTTGTAGAGCAGGAACAGGTGGGGAGAAGCATAAATAGGAAACCTGAAAGACATTCAGAAAGCTGTCGAGATTTATCAAGAGGCATTCTCTAGTTGTAGCAGCGTGCCTGTATTGCCTTGTTTCCCCAAAGTGCGGATCTTAGACACGGACAAATACACGCGGTAACAGGCACACGGGTCGGTCTCGCTGTGCTGTCCCCCACTCGGCATGCTTTGGCCGGGAGGGTATAGCAGTCGCTGATTTTCCTCCTTCCAGAACCACCCTTTGCGTGCCTCAAGACTCCCATTCCTTGACCCAACAAGAATCTCGCTCTGCGGTTTCGGTCGTCCTCGGATCACGATGATCCCACCATTTCGTTCCGTTCCAAAGTCGGGGATGGACGGACATCTTGATCAGAACCCATGAGCCAGAACAAGACCGGGAATTGACGCAAGAAAAAAACGTAGCAAATCCATGGAAAATCCTGCTTATTCCTACTCGTACAATCAACCAAACCCCCCTTTTGGCACTATTCCATCTTGTTGCCTTCCCCAGAGGTTGTTATATCTCTCATGTCCACACCAGACAAATACTGGCCCGTCCCGTCCCTCCATCCTTTTCAGACTCCTATCCTTCCCCACCCTCTCAAACATCCCATTTACCGCTTCCACTCATGATTCCAAGCCTGCCTACCCGGCGTCTCCACCAATGCCCGACTAGCATACTCAATTGGGATACTCTTCAGTCCATACACACCATTCTTCAGCATCGCCACACGATACAGGTATCCCGTCTCCCTCGTTCCGGGACCCTCTGTGTTGCGAAGCTCCTCACACGCGTTGCTCATGCTCTGGTGCTGCTGCATCAAGATCCGCTCGCGCTGCTCGCGCTGCTGGCGACGGAAGAGAAGCCAGGCGCGATGGATCGTCCAGTGGCGCAGGTACCTGTTGCGGCCGAAACGGAGGGGTGGGGGGATCCGCTTGGGCGAGAGGACGGCAAAGTGTCGCAGGATGTTGATGATACGCGGGTCGACTTGCTTGGGCCCTTTGGATTTCTTGCTGCCGGCCTTTTGGCCGGAGAACATGCCGGCTGGGGGGCCGCTCTTGCCCTTGCTCGCGTAGGAAGCGGTTTGTTGGTGTTGGATCGCGGTGGGGAGGGCGGCGGTCGCGGGCTTATTAGGTAGGAGGAGGGATGATGGCGAGGGACGCGCGCCGCCGGCGAAGAGGCGGGTGGCGAGGCCACGGAGGGATGTGAATGTTGAGGACATGATGGGTGCGTGTATTGGGGTGTTTCGCGTCGTCGTGTGCTTGTTTGTGTACTTTCGTGTACGTATTTCTTGTTACTTCGGTTGCGTGCAATGGTGGTAGTGGTCGACGTTCCACTACATAAAGAAGAAGCGCTCTACGTCCCGGTTCGACAGCGATCGCTTTTTCTCGGGCGCCGGGCGTTTTGGTTTCAAATCACCTTTCGACTGGGACGCGGAGCCGGTGGGTTTGGAGAGAACGGGAGGAGTGAGTGGTGGAGTTGGAAGGGTCGAGGCCGCCTTGACTAGCTGTTTTCCACGGTCAGTGTCCGGCGGCGTTTTCGAGATTCGACCGAATTGAGAACGGCGCGGACTCGGGAAATCTTCACAGACCCCACATGCGGTATGCCATGTGATTGGCTCCCAGTCTCTGGGAATCAAACAGATGTGGGGACGTACCTGCACCCTCTCACTTCCGCCAGCCTTGTAAGTCGATGTGCTACCTCTAGGCTTTGTGGGCATTTCGACATATTCTTGGTGCCTGAGCTCGTCGACCATGGCATTCATTCTGCGCCGTCGCTCAGACGATGGCATGTCTTTCCCTATTAGGAAGGTCAGCTCTAATCTAGCCGCATTACACTCCATCGACCAGCACAACTAAAGAAGAAGAAAAAATATCGGCATCAACTGTGCTGATCGTGCAAGCGCATTGTTTATACCAGCTCGAAGCTCTCAGTAAATCGGTCGAACAGCAAGGCCGAGACGTAGTAGACAGTAACATGCATGCGACAACTCCGTGAAAATCTGGAAAGGAGCGGAGAAGCAAGGAGCGCAGGTAGGATCAACACCAGTAAAATTGTCACGAGGGAACAAACACCATGATGGCTTCCTATATTGAGAACAGCAAGAAACTCTTACCATGTTCAACTGGATGTTACGGCACTGAAAAGCATAGGTAATGCGATGCTGGCATGAGAAACAAAAGAACGATGGCAAGCCTTTGTTCACACGACGATGGCACCGAGTTGCTTTCTGCACTTGATAACTTCATGAAAGCAGGAGGATTATTCCAAACGGGACGAAGTTGAATTGTGGACATCTTTACATTGTCAGAGGGGAGAAATAAAACAGGGAAAGATGATGAAAGGGAAAAGGGAAAGAGGGACAAAAAATAAAAAAAAACCAAAAAAAACCGGTCGTTGCAACTTACAGCTCTTGGTCCTGATTTTCATCGCCTTGTTAGATATCACCCGGCTTTTGGCCGTGGTGATAATCTTCGTCACCTTGTGAGAGACCTTTCGGTGCCTGGTGGAGTTCCTTGCTGACATCGCCGACACCGGCTTCTTGGTTGCGGACACCATAATGTATGAGAAGATGTGCTGCAAAGCGTTGGTAAGTCGTTTTGACAAGTAAAGTTTGATGGTGTAGGTGTGATATGAGCAGGAATAGGGAAGTAGTTTCGGAAATGGAAAAGGAAAGACGGTCTGAGTGATGGAAGGTTTATCTGGCCTTGAGGTTGCTCTTATAGGTGCACGCATGTAACGAGATCAGAACATGCAGGCGGGCTTGGATTACTTCGATCTAATTATTCTTTAACTGCAGTACCTCCGGCATATCAGCAGTCTCAGCGGCAGTGTTTGGAATCAGCCATTTCTTCTGCGACATTATGCCCGTATTTAAAAAAAATGGAACGGAGGGGCGCATGATGCAGTTCGGTGCAGTTTTGTCCCTGGAATTCGGTCTCCCAGCTTGCAACTGCTGAGTTATTCACCCAGATCGTGCCATATGTTCCTTCAACTATAACCAGATCAAGCCTTCAGGCCTTGCCAGGTTGTGGCTAAGGAATGCTGGGGTCTGGAAGTAATCCAGCGCGGAAAGAAATGGTCACCTTCGTTTCTCCTGGACTTTTACAGGCAAAGAAGGGAAAGGGTGCAAAAAAAGTTCCAGCAGGTTATGCGGAGGAGTTGTTCGTGAAATTTTTATTGATCAACACTGTGGAAGCACGCCTTGAATTTCTACCAAGCATGATACTAGAACGACATGCTGACTGCAGTTAAATAGGACACGTTTCGCTCCAAACATGATAAGAAACATCGATTCCCGTCGGACTGACTTGACATCTCGTGGTTCCTCTTGCTTTGCCAACTTGTAATTTCCATTTCTTGTATTCGGTATAACTATCATTCAATCCATTAGATGACCAGACCCCCAAAAAGCACATGTTGACAGCATACTATGTCTAGATGCCTCTCACCTGTCCTCTCGGGCACCAGTTTTCGAGACTTTGACATCCAAATCTTACGACCTTGTTCTCAACGCATGGTATAAACAAAAATTGCGAATAATGATTGCTGTTAACTTGTATGGCCCCTCGAGGTTACATACCTCCTTGAATCGGCGAGTGGGTTGAGGTATTGTAGTGAACAAGACACCGTAACCGCGTTTTGAAAAATTCTTCCGAACCTCAAAACTAGGTATGCGAAGAGGCAGTCGCTTCAGCTTTCACAATAGGTGAGTTCGATTCTCAAATCATCGCGACATTGCATTTCGGGGAGAAAAACTGAGTTTCTTGGAGCAAGGGGAGGGAGCGGGAGAGGGCCCATCATCCCCTGAACTTCTGCAGGGACACTCGACAGCGGCAGTCCAGTTGTATTGAATACCTACCTATCAATGCATCTACACACTCGCCGTACAATCCAATTCCAAGCTGATAATGTGATGGAATCACGAATTGTAACCCATAGTCCGCGTATACTAAAGCCCCTTAAGATCGCGTCCTCTCGACGTGGATAGATTTCGGAAGACATATGACCAACAAGGAAGGGCTTGCTGACTACCAGTCACCAATCATGCTCGCAGGGGATCAAAATACAAATTCCAGGTGAAGCATGAGGGAAGTGACGGCAAAAAGACGAGTGCTCTTTGTCCCAGCTTCTTGGAGGTGGTAGAGGCTGTTCAAGTCGTAAGTAATGAGCAAGAGCATCTCTTGGTGTACTTCGATATCTAAGCGAGTCCTCAAATACACTCAATACCTATTTTCTTTGCATAATTGTTGGGGTTGGCCTGGAATGTTGCCTGTCGTAGAAAGAGTCTTCTCCACGATGCAAGATGAAGTCGCGAGTTGTGAAAAAGAGTGAAGCATATCGCGGCAGATCCGCAACGTGATGTGGCCAGACGGGAAGCAGCCCTGCTACGCCGTACAATGTTTCTTCCAGGAATATTTCAAGATGATCGTCACACTTTGTTAACTTGCAACCAAAGGTAATGTGTCGCATCAGGGTTGAAGGTCTGGCGGCCCATTCTCCCAGCTGTCATGGTACCGTGCTGCGGACACCTCTGGCACCACTAAGCCTTGGGACAGCTGGTAAGCAGACTTGAATTTCAGAGAATTACACATGATGTACTTCTCCTTCTGCAGAACTCAAAGGCAGCTTGATGTGCCGTCCTCGGTGCTTTGGTGGCAAGAAGTTGACCTGGAATCAAGGCAAACTTTCTCAAGGAGACGCGCGATGTGGAGGGTTAGGGTTGTGGCTCGGATGTCTTCCAGGTCGAATCGCTTGACACGCGCTTGCAAGCCTGTGTGCCTGCCCCCTTCGGAATGTCAAATATACTGTTTTTCCACGGACTGGTTGATGAGGCACTGGGACTCGGATGTCCGTATGATCAATGATGTGCTACACTAAATGCCTGTATTGTTCAGGCTGAGTTCAAGCCCCCGCCCTTGATGTGAAATTCGGAAGACCGGCCCCAACGAGAGTGACGTCATCTGGGTTTGTTTGGATGAACGCACAAGATGATCTCGAGATCAATGTCATCGACGGGTCTGTTCTAGAACGACGTTGACGGAAGTAAAGACTCGATGCGGAGTGGCAGATGAAGCCGGACTCGGCCAGGCGAGCTCATCACCTGTCCGGTCCGGAGACTAGTTGATGTGGTTAACGGCGGAGGACATCCCCGTCGACCGAGATGAACCGCGCAGGTTCAGCGCCATACAAGGCGGCCAGATTCGCCGATCAGCGGACCACAAGCGGCCCCCCCAAACAGAGCGCTCGCTCAGAGTGTTTCATCCAATCAGCAGCTCGGATTTCTGATAAAACAGCCCCACCTAAAATTTTGAACCCAAGCATGATGGGATGATGCTGTAACACCATCGCAACCCTGAAACTGGCTCCCATCACTTTGTGAGTGTGTGACTCCCATTGTGTTTCCTTATCTTATCACCCCACCATCGTACCGTGACTCCTGTCTCGCCTCTCAGCCGACTCGCATCGAATTTTTGGAAGATCTTTTTCCTCCCGAACGCCTCTCTCCTCTTTTGGAGAAGCGTTTGGCTGTGTGCCAATCCAAAACACTCCAATTCACCAACCTCACCAACCCATATACCTACATTTCTCTTGGGTATTTTGCGCCGTTGCGCCTCCCCCCTCCATCCAACAATGGAGTTCCTTACTCTTACGGGCGGCTCCTGCTTCACGGCCTCCGAGGCCGTCAAGCTGATGGAGCAGATCAACAAGACCGCCCCCATCAAGGTTTCGTCTGTCTCGGGTGTCTGGGTCTATTATGCGCACATCGCTGGCGATGCCAGTGCCGCCCAGCAGAAGCTCGCCCAGCTTCTTCCTCTCTCTTCCGACCAGGCCGCCCCCCATCTTACACACATCGGCCATGGGCGCAAGTGGTATGTGACCCCTCGCTACCTGTCGCCATGGAGCTCCAAGGCCACCAGCATTGCCCAGGTCTGCGGCTTCGAGAAGGACATCCATCGCATTGAGCGCGGCCGTCTCGTCCACATTGAGTTTGAGCAGCCCTTCAACGACAAGAACATCACCTTCCGCGATGTTCTGCACGACCGCATGACCGAGACCTTCTCGGCCGACGCCCCCGACTTGGTCACCATGTTTGCCGAGGGCCAGCCCCAGACTCTGGAAGTCGTCGATATCTTCGCCCCTGGAAAGGACCCTATCCAGGTCCTCCAAGAATACAACAAAGAACGCGGTTTGGCTCTTGACCAGTCCGAGATCGAGTACCTGGTCGAGAAGTTCTCCCAGCTCGGTCGCCCGCCTCATGATGTTGAGCTCTTCATGTTCGCTCAGGTCAACTCTGAGCACTGCCGTCACAAGCAGTTCAATGCCAACTGGACCATTGATAGTATCTCCAAGGGCAAGAGCCTTTTTGAGATGATCAGAAACACCCACAAGGTCACCCCCGACTTCACTGTCTCGGCTTACAGCGACAATGCTGCCGTCATGGAGGGTGACCACGTCAACTTCTGGTCTCCCGACTATTCGACCGGCTCGTGGAAGTTGAACAAGGAGTTGATTCATGTTCTGGCCAAGGTCGAAACACACAACCACCCCACTGCTATTGCGCCCTTCCCCGGTGCCGCCACTGGCTCTGGTGGTGAGATTCGTGACGAAGGTGCCGTTGGCAGAGGCTCCACGCCCAAGGCTGGTCTTTGCGGCTTCTGGGTCTCTGACCTGCACATTCCTGACCACACTGCCCCGTGGGAGATTGACGTCGGCCGCCCGGCCCACTATGCCAGCGCTTTGGATATCATGCTGGAAGCCCCCATTGGTAGCGCCCGCTTCAACAACGAGTTCGGCCGTCCCTGCCTTACTGGTACCTTCCGCACCCTCCTTACCGCCGATGACACCAAGGCAGAGGGCGAGTTCCGCGGTTACCACAAGCCCATCATGATTGCTGGTGGTGTTGGTATCGTTAGGGAGAACCATGCGCTCAAGAACCCATCCGACGTGCAAGAGGGCGCCCACGTTATCGTTCTCGGTGGCCCCGCTATGCTTATCGGCTTGGGCGGTGGTGCCGCTTCGAGCAACGACTCTGGCGAAGGCAACGCCGATCTTGATTTCGACAGTGTTCAGCGCGGCAATCCTGAAATGGAAAGACGCGCCCAGATGGTCATCAACACCTGCGTTGCTCTTGGCATCCAGAACCCTATCGCCATGATCCACGATGTGGGTGCTGGTGGTCTTTCGAATGCCTTGCCTGAGCTGGTGAAGGATGCTGGCTTTGGTGGCAGATTCGAGCTGCGCGAGGTCGAGTGTGTCGACAAGAGCATGAGCCCTCTTCAGATCTGGTGTAACGAGGCTCAGGAGCGTTACGTCTTGCTCGTCAACCCTGATAGTATGGAGCGTTTCACTAGCATTTGCCGTGAGTTCACACCCCTACCTCGAGTTGTTTGTATATGCTGGTAGTTCTGACAAACCTAATAGAGAGGGAACGTTGCGGCTTCTCTGACGTCGGAACCGTCATCACCAAGGAGGCCGATGGCGTTTCTAAGCTCATCTTGAGCGACAAGCAGTCCAACGAGTACCCCCGTCCTATTGATGTCCCCATGGATGTCCTCTTCCCCAAGGGACGTAAGCTCGAGCGCATTGTCACTTCCAAGAAGCCCCAGTGGCCTGCTTTCAACCCTGTTGCCAGCCTGAAGGAGGCCTTTGGCGAGTCGACTAGCGACGAAGATCTCCTCAGACAAGCCGTTCAGCGTGTCTTCTGGCTGCCATCTGTTGGCTCCAAGTCCTTCCTGATCACCATCAGTGACCGCACAGTCGGTGGTCTTACCGTGCGTGATCAGATGGTTGGTCCTTGGCAGGTTCCTGTTGCCGATGTCGCTGTCACCCTCTCCTCGTTTGGTCTTAACGGCGTCAAGGGTGGCGAGGCCATGGCTATGGGTGAGAAGCCCACTCTCGCTCTCATTTCTCCTGCTGCTTCTGCTAGAATGGCGGTCGCCGAAAGTTTGTTGAACCTTGGTGCTGCCGATATCAAGGCCGGGTCCCAGCGTGGTGATCTCAGGCGCGTCAAGCTCTCCGCCAACTGGATGGCCGCTGTGAACCACCCTGGTGAGGGTGCCGCTCTTTACGAGGCCGTCGAGGCCATTGGTATGGAGCTGTGCCCTGAGCTCGGCATCAGTATCCCCGTTGGAAAGGACTCAACCTCTATGAAGGCATCCTGGAAGGATGGCGAGGTCAAGAAGAGCGTCACTGCCCCTGTTTCCGTTGTTATCTCCGCCTTCACCACCGTTGAGGACGTTCGCACTACTTGGACCCCTCAGCTTCATCGCGTGGAGGAAGTTGGCGAGACCGTTCTCCTGTTCGTCGACTTGGCCAAGGGCTTCAAGGCTCTGGGTGGCTCTGCTCTTGCTCAGTCCTTCGGCGCGATTGGCCACGAGGCGCCTGATGTGCGCGACGTGGATCTCCTCAAGGACTACTTCGATGCTCTTGCGCAGCTCCACGAGAGCGGCGTCGTCCTTGCCTACCATGACAGGTCCGATGGTGGCCTGATCACCACTGTTGCCGAGATGATGTTCGCCGGTCGCTGCGGCGTCGACTTGACCCTGGACGGCGTTTCCAAGTCCGGCAGCTTGGCCGATCTTACCGACGCGCTCTTTAACGAGGAGCTTGGTGCCGTCTTCCAGGTTCGTGCCGAGGATGAGACCAACTTCAAGCGCTGCTTCGCTACTTGCGGTCCTCCTGCTGGCCTGATTCGCAAGATTGGTGTCGTTCTGCCCACTACCAAGCAGACACTTGCCATTCGCTACGGCGAGGGCAAGCCCTTCGTGACCTTTGACCGGGCTGAGATGCAACAGTGGTGGAGCAAGACCTCGTACGAAATGCAGAAGCTGAGAGACACCCCGGCGTGTGCCGACTCTGAGTATGCTGCTATTCTCGACTCCCAAGACCCCGGTCTCTCCTACACCCTTACCTATTCTCCCGCCGAGAACATCGTTCCCTTCACTGCCTCCATCACTGGCTTCTTCGGCAAGACGCCTCGTGTTGCCATTCTCAGAGAGCAGGGTGTCAACGGCTACGCCGAAATGGCCTTTGCCTTCCGTGCCGCTGGCTTCGATGCGGTGGACGTCCACATGACCGACATCATCAACGGCCGCTCGCTCGCCGACTTCGTTGGTCTTGCCGCCTGCGGTGGCTTCTCGTACGGTGACGTCCTCGGCGCTGGCCAGGGTTGGGCCAAGTCCATTCTGTTGCACGAGAAGGCCCGTGCCGAGCTCGAGGCTTTCTTCAACCGCAAGGACACCTTCAGCTTGGGCGTCTGCAATGGCTGCCAGATGCTTTCCCGTCTCCGGTCGCTGATCCCCGGCGCCGAGCACTTCCCGACGTTTGTGCAGAACGCCTCGGCCCAATTCGAGGCCCGCTACAGCATGGTCAAGATCGAGGAAGGAGAGGCAACCAAAAATTCGGTCTTCTTCAACGGCATGGGCGGATCCAGCCTTCCTATCGTCGTCTCCCACGGCGAGGGCCGCGCCGAGTTCGACTCGCAGGCTGACTTCCAGGCGCTCACTGAGCAGAACGGTATCCCCATCCGCTACGTCGATAACCGCCTGAATGTCACGGAGGAGTACCCCTTCAACCCCAACGGCAGCCCGGCTGGTATTGCCGGTGTGGCCAGCAGGGACGGCCGTGTCCTGGCCATGATGCCTCACCCCGAGAGAACCATCATGGCTGGTGTGACGAGCTATGCTCCTGAGGACCAGCTTGCCCAGTGGGGCGAGTTCGGCCCTTGGTTGAGGATGTTCAGGAGCGCTAGACGCTGGGTTGGTTAAGCAATGATCTGATGGGACGATGAAACCGGATAAGACAGAAACAGGTACACGTAGAAAACGTCAGCAGAGATGATCAAAATAGAGGGTCGGAAAGGGATAATCAAGGGTTAGGGACATTCAACATTTGCGGATTGCGGAGTATGAGGGATGGTTTAATCAGCTGGAAGGTTGGCAGGGGAAAATGGGATTGTTTAGTGATTTGTTGGGAATTGTATATAAGGTATGGGTGGTTGATTCAATACTCAAAATAGGGGCTAGTAGCCTGACAGGCTCTTGAAAGCATTGCGATGTATTCGAAGTTCATGATCGCAGACAAGTTGTGGGTTCTCGTGAAGCTCATGCATCAGCGCAGGGACCCTGTAGTGTAGAGCACAAGAAGTATAGTTCAATCAAAAAGGGGGCATGAAATCCAATCGTAGACTCCTGGCCTGCTTGTACACTAGACTCATACTATGCCAACTTGTTTTATTATACCTGAGCTAAGCGGGTAAAGAAATGCTGCAAGAATCATAAATCATCCCTCAACAGTTCTATCAGCTCGTTACCTTCCACCAGCACCACCGGCACCGCCGGCACCACCACCACCCATGAACGAGCGCGCCCTATCAATCTTGTTAGTGTTCTCGAACTCCTAGAAGCTAAGAAAAATCAAAGGAATAGACTTACAAATCGGCAATGTTGGGATCGTTCATGAGCGAAGACATGTCGGGCAGACCGCCGCCGCCCTGGAACTGGTTCGCCATTTCCCTGAGACGGGGGTTGTTCATAAGGTTGGACATCATATCAGGGTTGCTCATGAGGTTCTGGGCCATCTGGGCAAACATGGGGTTGTTCATGATGGAGCCGAAATCGGGCATGCCACCACCACCACCAGCACCGGCGCCAGCGCCAGCGCCCGCACCACCACCACCGCCGAACATGCTCGCCAAGCTGCTCAAATCAGGCATGCCACCGGCACCACCGGCACCGCCACGGGCGGCAGGCGCATCATTCTGAGCCTCGAGCTCCTCAACCCTCCTCTTGGCCGTCTCAAATCCCTTCTTCATCGCCTCACTACCGCCGTTGCCCTCGTACTCAATACCCTTCTGGTACGCCTCCATGGCGCCCTTAGCATCGCCGAGCGCGAAGCGCGCAAGGCCCAGGCGGCTCCACGCCTTGGTGTACTTGGGGTCGATAGCGACGGCGGCCTCGGCATCGGCGCGAGCGGACTCGTGGTCGCGCGCGGCAGAGTGGGCGGCCGCGCGGTTGGACAGGTAGACGGCGTTGCCTGGGTTTAGAGTGAGCGCCTGGGTGTAGAAGTCGATGGCGGTTGGGTAGTCCTTTTGGGCCATGGCGGCGTTGCCTTTGGACTTGAGGGATTCGGCTTGCTTCTTGTCTTCTTCTGTGGGGCCATTGCTGCTGCTGCTGGCCGCAGCAGGGGCGGCGGACGAGGAGGAGGTGGTGGAGGAGGCAGAGGCGGCGGCAGGCTTGGTCTGCTTGAGCTTCTCGTAGACGGAGTAGATCTGGAGCAGATTCTGGGAGCCGATGGCCTCGGTCACGGCGGCCTTATCGGAGGGGTCAACACCAAAGGCCTCGCCGATGCAGTTGACGGCAATGTCGATGTTGTCCTTGTCGTCGGCTTGGAGGGTGCCGTCGGTCAAGGAGGTGTTGAGGAAGTCGCAGATGGCGAGCGCGAGGCGCTGCTTTGTTGTCGTCTGTTTGAGAAGAGGAGGAGGAGGGTTAGCTTTCATCTAGTTCGAGGAAACGGAGGGAAGTTGATATGGCGTACCATCTTGTGTATGATGTGAGCGTTGTCGATCTAGGGGTATCTAAAAGAGAGAGAAAGAATGTCGTGAAGTTTGAGGCTTGGGTTATTTTGGTTGGGCCACGGGGTACCTTATGACCTGACAAGAAAGATGGATGCGGGCGGGCGGGCGGTCTGTACAATGGGGGAATGGGTAGGTACAGCACACTGGTCTGAATGGAGGGGATGGCAGAGGGGCTGCAACAGCGGGACCCGACGCTTCTAGAATTGGATGGGGCGGGCAATCAAACGCCCAGTTGTCCAGGGCAGTGTACAATATCCTTGCAGACGAGGGTAACTGCGGGGTCGGCGGCTAGCTTGAGCTGCTACAGAAAACAATGTGTAGTAGATGATGAAAGCCCTTGATCAGCATCTCAGCATGCGCTTAAACTGTACAGATCCCTCCACCGAAACCCGAACCCTTGGGGTTCCATTGCGATGCGCTCCCGGTGCCGTTGGGTGGAGCCTCGCTGATGTCACGCATGTGAAATGCACAACGCAACGTCCCGTTGACAGTCGCGGTCGCGATTGCGGTTGAAGACAGCGCCTTGGTTTTTTAAAAGCAGCCTTTACAGCTCGGGCTTCGCTCCCGCCCTCTATTAGGTTGACGGCGCTGCTTTTCACAGTCCGTCGTCCACTCCTTCTTGTCGGTACATATCTACTTATGTCTTCTCTCCGGATATAACAAGGCGGTCTGCTGACCTGAACCACACCAGGTTCTGCTGTTCCCGCTGTCTCGACATCAATCCATAACCATTTCTATTGCTTGTATATCGTAGCGATAACGGCGACGACCACGACGGTTACCGAATCATTCCTCCCTCACACCCGACCAAGCCCAAGATGTCGACGCCAGGCACCAGCTCACAAGCCAGCTCGCACCCCGTACCAAATAACCTCACACGTTCCAACACAGACAACTTCAAGCGATGCTGCATCTGTTACGAGGATGAAGGCGAACGCACTACCGAACCGGTCATCCATCCTTGTACATGCAGTTTGCCCGTCCACGAGACATGCCTTATACGATGGTACGAAGAGATCCAAAAGCGGCACAACCGTGACGACGTGAGCTGTCCGCAGTGCAAGGCTCCCTTCAGGGTCGAGGAGCCCTTTGACTTTGTCGTGGCTCTGCGCGATACAATACATTCCCAGTTCAGCAAGGTGTCACCCATTATCCTCGCGTCCATGGCCGTGAGCGGTACCTTTGCCAGCTCTGCTACATACGGTGTTATCGCTGCCTCCTGGTTTGCTGGCTACGAGACTGCACTCGGGTGGGTCGGCCTTCAGATTACTTCCGGTCAAGCTGTTGCCGTACCCGTGGCAAGAAGTGCGCGAGTAGGGAGAATAATAATGAGGCTGTGGTCACTATCTTCCATTGCTCCGGCCGTCGTCCTTAGTCGAGCTTTGCCGTTCCTGGCTAATTTCTTTTTTGTTCCATTTTCCGCCATGGTTTGTCAACCCTTTTCCTCATCCCATCTCCACGGTTGATGCTGACTCTAATCGTTTACCTCATCAGTACGGCCTCGCACTCATAACCCAGGACGATCACCCAACATGGCCGCCCTCACCCACGTGGGCAATGGTTATGATGCCTTATATACATATGAGTTATATTAGATTCTACGATTACTGGCTAAGCCCGATCGACAATCGCCTCAACCGGGCTCTACGGGGTCTCGAAACCAGCCTTCAGCCCATCGATAGTGCCGCCGGCGAATCCGAGGCCGGAAACAACGACAACAATGGAAACCAGGACCGTGGAAGCCGCTTCAGCATGTCCGACCTCCTAGACCTGGGCCGCACCGCTTGGATTGTCTTCATCAACCCCCCAGACCAGAACGAAGCAAATCTAGATGATCCTTGGGGACTAGGCGCTAATGCCCTCAACGGTAACGATGGCTTCGACTTCGAAGTAGGCGCTAATGCCGTCAACAATAATGCCGTCAACAATAATGCCGTCAACAATAATGCCGTCAACAATAATGCCGTCAACGGTAACGATGGCTTCGACTTCGATGATTTCCTATTTTCTGACCTTGACCGTCCGGGGCCTCACGATGAGGATATTCCCACTGCCATCGACGGTGCATCAGGTGGGCTCTGGGATGTGCCTCCACTGAATCAAGACGTACCAATTGGTATGGTTTGGGGAGGGGGTCTACAGTATCCAGAGTATATACAACCACAACCACAACCAGCTCCACCCGAACCAGCACCAGCCCAAGCGGCACCAGCCCAAGCGGCACCAGCCCAAGTACCGCCAGCCCAAGCAGCAGAAGCCGAGGCTCGCACCTCGGCCCCAGCAGTGCCAGCGCCCGCGCCCGCGCCAGCAGCAGCAGCAGCTCCACCTCCACAGCCCGCAGCACGGGAAAGGAACGACGACGACCAAGACGGCGTGGAACTCCCCCCGGTTTCCTTCACAGATCTCACCAACAACGTAGTCACCTCTCTCCTCTTCCCCTTTATCTCGTACGGCATGGGCGAGCTTCTCCGCCTCTCACTACCGAGGTCGTGGACTTCCCCACCCAAGCCCATTGTCACGTCGGGGTTCTTTAGGAGTGGAAAAATCATGCAAGGAGGGCCCGGCGGTCTGCTGCAACAGAGATGGGGACGCAGTCTGGCGGGTGGCTGTCTATTCGTGGTGATCAGGGACGTGTTTGAACTGTATGCCAAGTACAGGAATGTGCAGGCGAAGAAAGCGCGGAGAATTGTGAGAAAAAAGGGGGGAGAAGGAGGAGGAGGACAGAGGTCTAATCGGAGGGCTGCTGGCGCTGGCGCTGGCGCTGGCACTGGTAATCAGTAGGACTTTGCCAGTCTCATCTCGCGTTCGAGGCGGGGGTGGTTTTGGTCAGTACTTGACCAGACGTGAATATTTGGAAGGATAATAGTGTTGGGTGAGATGTGTTATTGATCCAGCGAGAACTGGGACAGGTTGGGCGATTGGCACTATGCAGCGAACTGGGCCGTGGTCTGGGTGTGCATTTACATGGGTTTTGGCGTTACAACTGCTTGATGGTCTCCTTTCTGGCCTTTGTATATATATATTCTTTTGGTTCTTTTTTTTCATCCCCTCATGGTGAAATTGGTGAGGGGAATTCACATAGCGTTTTTCCGTGTATATATTCTAGGACTGTTTGAGATAACCATGGTAGCTATCATGGCTGTAAAGACACAAGTTGAGCGGTTAATTACTAGGAAAATTGACTGGATGAATAACACAGCCTTTTCAACACTTTTTCTACCCGTCAGTGTATATTGAACTCTTGGTTTTTCCCCTTTGTATCATGCATGCTAACTCAACCACAGGATTCATAAGTAATCACAAACCTCTATTCAGCATCCGTCAAGCCAACCCTTCCTTCCCACCCAAATAAAGCGCACTTCCAGACCCCGGCTTACTAACCACCACTGCCCCCTCCCTCTGCTCCTCCGTCAACTCCAACTTGCTATAATACTCCCTCTCTAGTGCCTCCTTGACATTGTTCACCTTGTCCGCCGGCACCAAATGCACGCTACATCCACCCCATCCCGCACCCGTCAACCGACTCCCGTAGCTGCCCGCCTGCCGAGCAATCGCGCAAATCCGATCAATCTCCTCGCATGAGCACTCGTACACCTCACGACACGAATCCTGCGTCTCGTTGAGCAGGGCACCTAGGCGGCTGTTGAGGTCCTCTGCTGTACTTGTAGTTGATGATGATGATGATGATGATGATGATGACGAAGAAGAGGAAGTTTCAAGAAGGTCCATGAGCTTGAGCACCCGCAACGCTTCGCTGAAGACGTGGATCGCTCGTTGGCGCAGCTTGAAACGCTCGGCGCGCACGGGGAAACGGGAGGTGAATTTCTGGTCTAGTTCAGAGGTGGAGGGCAGGCCAAGGACGGCGGCGATTTCGGAGCGGGTGTAGCCCTCTTCCTTGGTGAGGGTTTGTTTGGTTAGCTCGAGCAGGTGTTCGAGCTGTTCAGTAATGGATTTGCTCGAGGTTGCGCCCGAGTTATGCTCGGAGAGGGCGAAATAGGTTTCGTGGAACCCGTGAAGGGAAATGCCCAGGGGAGAGGCGTCGCCGGGCAATAAGGTGCCAGGAGGGTTGAGCACGGCGTTGAGGTAGGCGGCTGCGAGCGTGCATTCGACGACGCGGAGGTTGTAGTGGATTGGACCGGTGACGAACTTGTCGGCTGTGACGAAGGATTGGGCGATCAGGAAGGTGAGTTCGGGGGTGGTGGGTGGAAAGGAGACGGGGCGGGCGAGGAGGGTGGGCGTGAAGGAGACGAACAGGGCGGAACCACGCTCGGAGAAGACGGAGGCGGATTGATCCATTCTGTCATATCGTGTCAGTTCTAGGTATGTTCTTGGATGGAATTTGTTAGTTGGATGCTTGACATACCCTCCAGAGTTCACACCAACGGCTCTCTCACTGACAATAGCCAGCTCCGTCAACTCCTTCTTGTCAACCGTCTGCTCGCCATTGGCCGCCATGACAGCCAAAGCACTAGCCGTGACAAAAGCAGCACTTGAACTGAGTCCTCCACCAGCCGGGACGGTGCCGTCCATGAGAATCTGCATGCTCTTGGGTTTGAAGTCGGCCCCGTGCTTCTTGCGCAACAGCTCCAAAGCCCCGCGTAGGCCCGACTTGAAGTAGTTGGTCCATTCGTGAACGGTGGCGTCGATGTCGACGGAATCATAGAGAATGTCGAACTCGCGCGACTTGAACTTGGAGTCCTGCACGTTGGCGATCTGGATCCTAAAGGTTCCTTCCTTGGGAGCTGGTAGGTGTGTTGAGACGGCAATGATGGTGTCGGCAGTGATGGCCATAGGAAGCACAGAGTACAAAGAGTAGTCGATGTGTTCGCCGATGATGTTCACTCGGCCCGGAGAGCGAGATACGAACTCGGGCTGGTGGCCGTAGGTGGACTCAAACTTGGAGAGAAGGTTGTTCCATCGTTTTGTTTGCGTGTCAAGGGCATCACGGGTGTAGATGTCCTCGAGCGAGTTGGCGATGGGGACCGGTCCGGACATTGTGATGTTGACAGTTTTTGGGGGAGTATCTTGAGAACTGGACCAGCTAATTGAGGACCGGAAAGGAGAAGGAAGGTGGAATATGGGCTAGGATATGGGAGAGGGGGGAAGAAGGGTAAGGTAATGAAAAAGGAGCGCTCGTCAAGCTTGGAGTAGTTGCCCCACGAATCCAGGTACGAGCTGCCCCGCACTGCCGTCACTTACAAAGACCCCTAGAGGTAGGGTACAGCGACCAGGGTAGCGGGTAATTGACCTCGAATGGAGTTGCAAGATGGGGTTCGGTGGAGGTTACTCCGGGGTCACTGGCTGTTTCGGGTAGGCACCTCTAGTTTATCAGGTTATCTGTAGACACTACGTTTGTTTCACGATGAGTTAAGGAATCTGCTGAGAAGACCCAACTGCTTTCACCTGATCACTATTGAGTGTAAAGTTGTGGACTTGAGAGAGTGAATTTGAAACTCATAAAACAGCAGAGCAGATGATGAGCTTTCGGGGAACACAAATCGAACATGAATGATAAGAAACTTGGGATGAACGCCACGAACAGCTCCAGTTCTCCTCAGTGATTTGTGCGGTTACATAGGTACGGCATGTACACAGCATGGAGTGCTGCTTGGTCACGCGGGGCCCCAGAAACTCTCCAGCTTTTTTACCCCGAGCAATTGGCCGATTGCGGGGCTGTCCAAGGTTCCAACTCTTGTCGTGATCTTCTTTGTTCTATTCTGTATATTTCCCGAGGTTTATTCAAGGATGCTCATCAAATCGTGCCCGATGGGATGCTTTCCACCCGCAAACCCTTTCTGTGTTTTGATGTTCAGCTCTTGGGGATTTGGGGTAGTGTACTTACCTACCTGTAGAGGTATGTAGATACCTCTACAGCGCTACAGAACTAGTACTGCTTGCTGGATCGGTGGGTATCCAAACTTGCACATACGATCTGGTAAGCAGTTTGTATACCAAGATGATATCCCATCGTATACGCCGAAAGAGAGAGTATCTGTGTCTCTATCCCAGTTTTAGACAAGCAGCAAAGGTGCAGAATAGAAAAAGGGCATTGGGTACATAGGTAGTAAAGATGGCACTTAGAGAGATATACACTACCGTTCCTTGAAAAGCCCAGGTCAGATAAGGTATCCACCTTGAGGTCAGGTCACTGTCATCCAGAACCCACTATGTGGAGCTCTACGGCCGCACTGTACCTTGCATTCAGCTTCACACATCCGTCCGTCTGCCAAGCAATCGAAAGCTCAACCTCGAACTCATCTCATCAGCACATGGATCCAAACTTCACAACAGAACACACACCAATCTCCGACAGAATGCTACACTACGAGACGGAATGGTTCGATTCCATAGTCACAGCAGCCGGGTCTGTGATTGATGAGAACCCGTCCATCTCAACAGACGAAGCCTGCCAAAAACTCCAATCCAGTGAGTCTTCCTCCTCCGTCACTACCTCAGCAACGAATTAACTGATCTCAACGTAGAGGTTCCTGAATCATTCACTTTCAGGCAGTTAGCAGGGCTAGCTAGGCGGTACCTCAACAAGGTGAGCATTTCAGTTGCTGTAACAGCAAGCTGTCAAGTAGCAGCTAACCCAGAAAACCAGAACCTCACCTCCAGCACCTCCGGAAGACCTACCCGACAGCAATCCACCCTAGCAGTTCTCGCGTGCCTACTTCTCAAAGACCGAATCGCACCCGATCAAGATTCAACAAGTGCAGACGAGAACTCTTCAGAAAACGAAGATGGCGAGGACAGCCTCTCACCAGGAACCCGCCTAGCTCGCTCCATAGCACGAGCAATCTCCCCCGTCTTCCCTCAGAAACCAAACAGCCACTCAAACGACCTCGACGACTCCAATACCCAACTCCGCGCTCACCTCACCACCCAATGCCTAGCAGCCGCCGACGCAGGCTTCAAAGTCCTCAAGCTCCTCGCCTCGCGTGGTCCAGAGAATCTTGACAACCCTGACGTCCTCGTCACGCTGATCGCCTACACCAATCCCGCCGAGGAATGGACGACTCCTGAGCTAGCGGCTCGCGCCACCCTCATCCTTCAGCAACACCTCGATTCCGCCGAAAAGTCCAACTCTAAGAAACAAGGCTTCATAATAACCCACATTCTCCCCATCTACCTCCGCCCCCTCTTCTCTCGCTCCTCCCCTTCCCAGCCACTCATCACCCCCTCGGGCCGTCCATCCGCCTACGGTCAAAACCCCGACGCCCGACCTTCTGGTCTTCCCGATGACTCGAGCAAGACCAAACCGTGGAAATTCGTCGATCTGCGTGCCATTACTGTGTTTGACTGGACTGTTTCTGAAGCGGACGAGGAATCGACAATTACCAACTCTTGGCCGCTCTTCATTCCGGTGCTGCTGACGCTGGCGGATGATAACTCCACTTCCGTTCGAAGAAGAGGGCTGGTAATTCTGAAGAAATTCTTGGACAAGTTTCCGGATATAATTCTGAATCAGACGGGGCTGAACAAAGTGTTTGAGGACACGGTTCTGCCTACTTTGAGTTATCTGCCTAGTATCACGCCGGAGGAGGAGTCAGTGCAGTTGCTTGGGCCGGCGTATGCGGTGTTGAGGCGTTTGGCGGGGAAGCTGAGTGGAGAGAAGAAGACCAAGTTGCTGGATAGAGTGGTCAGGGAGGGAATATTGCTAGGGTATTTCCATGCTAAGGAGTATGTAAGGATCGTTGAGGTGTTGTGTCGGGAGATGGGAGAGGTACTGATGGAGATGGGGGTTAATGCGGTTAAGCATCTCAAGGTACGTGGTATTTATTCTGTGCTACTGATGCTGATGCGTGGACGCCCAAAGTTGAATTTGACAAGAGGGGAGAGGGAAGACATGAAAAACGGACACAATGCTAACCATTCGCGTCGTCAAATTTCGTACCAGGATATCATCCCCATGCTCTCGACAATCTTAACGGATCCATTCGCCTCCCTTCATCCCCCAACCCTACTATCAGCTATCAAAGCCCTTCAAGTCGTCCTCGCAACATGTTGGCCTCGGATCCCCAACTCGCCTTGGCAGGGTGAGATTATCAATTCCCTGGTGCTCTGCTGGCTCAATCTTCACGCCTCTGATTCCTTGGAAGACACCTTCCCGGCGATTAGACAGGCACTCGTTCACACAGCAGACGCCCTCGCCGCTGTCCTGGCTACGGAGGTGGATGAGGGCAAGCCGGCCATCAGTCTCTCCGAAGTCGTCGAACCGCTAGTGGCGAAAGAACCTTGTCTTTCCCCGCTCTTCTCCGCGGCGTCAAACGAGGAACAAGACTCGGGGTTGGAGTGTTGAAGTTGTCACAGAGGCCCTGGGTTCGGGTTCTCGCCCTGCCTCTGGATGGTGAGCGATTTTGTTGGTCATCTCCGGCTTGAGCCCCAAGGTCTCGTCTGCGTCCTCTGGAAGAACCCTCTCCGGGTCCGTAGTCATCATCATCCTCAGCAGCCCCGTCCATTCCATGATGAACACCACGATCGGCCCCACACATAGTCAACACCCTCCTCGTCTCATTTGGCGAGACAACGACAAAGACCACCGACGAAGCCCGCCTCGTGCCATCCCTATCCTTCTCATCCACGTCCTTAATCAGATACCCTGTAGTTTTCTCGCCCTCTTCCGGCCCAACAACCACGGGCTCCTAGTCCACCGGCTGCTGCTTGAAAAGGCTCTTCCCCCTCAACCACTTCCTATAGGCTTTATACCTCTTCTTCTGCGCGTCCTCTTCCGTCACGGTGAGCGGGTTCTCGCTGATCTTGAGCATCTCAATGTAAAGCGCTTTGTCATCGTCCGCTAACCCTCCACCATTAATATTTCCATTCACACCACCCGGCGCACCTCCTCTATTGCCACCACCACCACCTCCGTCAGGAGTTCCGTACCCACCATAACCACTATACACACTTGAAGCATACCCCGTAATCCCCAACCCATCCCCAACGCTACCATCCCCATAACTACCCACCACCATACCCCCATTCACCTCTTCATCTTCTTCTTCCACAACAATAGAAGCAGGATACTGCCAACTCCCATTAACATACTCCTGATACTCAGGCTCCACCTCCCCGGGCGCAATCTCGCTCGATACCACCAGCGGCAAGTGGTGCGGGTGGCTGACGTAGCGGGCGTAGTCCTCGGCCTCGGCAGCGCTGACGGTCGGGTTGAGCGAGGAGTGCACCACTTTGGTGAAGGTCGATTGGGCAGCCCGGGTTTTTTCTTGGGCGGAAAGGTGTTTGTTTTCTCCTAAAGGGGTGGTGGTGTAACCGTTGCTGTTTCGGTTGTTGGGGGTTTGTTGATACTGCTGGTGATGGTTGGAGTGGTAGTTGTTGAAGGGGCGGTACGAGTAGTCTCCGAGTTCGGTGCTTTCGCTGGTGTTGTTGTTGTTACTTGAGGATTCGCGGCCGAGAGTTCGAGAAGGGTTGGTGGTGGTGTTGTTATTGTTGTTGGTGGGGTCCGAAGGGCCAGTGGCGGAGGTGGTGTTTGCGGCGGTGGCAGCTTCTTTGGTACCGCTGCCGGGGAGCCAGCGCTGGAGGGAGAGCCCACGGTGGTGACCAGGTGCGTTACCGCCGTTGTTGTCTGCGGCAGCAAGAGCGGCTTTCTCGTTCATCGCAGAGGCGTTATCCGCGGCATCTTCGGCTAGATGCTTCGTTCCGGAAAAGTGGTCGGCGCGGTTGGTGGCAAACGTCACCTCCTTCTTGACCTTCTTCCTGTCGTGCGTATGGTCGCCGTCACCGGTCCCGCCTACCTCGCCGCGCACGCGGAACGGGCTGAGGTCGTACCGGCCGTCCTGGGTGGACTTGAAGGGTATGTACCTGAGGGTCGAGTTCATACGGTACGCAAACATCTTGAGGAAGGACGAGAGCGTGGAAGGACGGTAGTACTCGAGCCAGTAGTCGTCATAGCGGGACACGGGGATCTTGCTTTGGGGTGAGTTGGGCTTGATGGCGGGATACGGAGGCAGGACGCGAGGCTTGAGAAACTCGGGTGTGTACCAGTTGATGTAGTGGCGCTTGCGCTTCTCCAGCCACTGCCGTGGATCTTCGTGGTGCAGGTAGTAGTCGGTGCCCAGATCCCAGAGCATTGGCTGTCCTTGGGCGAAGATGTAGTTACCGAGGAACAGGTTGTAGGCCTCCTGACGCTGACCGTCGAGAAAAGCATTGTTGTAGTATCGCTTGAAACTCTCAATCATGTCGCGCGAGTGGCTGGTCCACTGGTTGATCTTTCGGTATGTCTCCATGGTGTTAACGAGCTGTGAGCCGCCATACTGGACGGCAATGGTGTCTCCATGGTCGTGGTACATGTGCGTGAACAGGTTGACGGCGTCGGTATCGTAGTTGACAGTGGTGTCCTCCAAGATGCCGAGAGCATGGAGCTGGTGGCCAAGGGCACGCTTGCCAATCACGAACTGGGCCGCATTGGTTCGGTCCAGACAGTCGATACAGTTCGTCCGTGCGACTCCGTTCTGGACCCGGATCGGGGAAGTGTGGCCGTCACCGTTGTGGAAGAAGCCGGTCGTCAGGACAACGTCCTCAGCGATACTTTCCAGTGTCCCGATAACATCTTGGTCCCGACTCTTAGCGGCTCGCGACATGTCCCAGGCACGGTAGATGATCTTGTTTTCCTTGGGCAAGAACTGGTTAAGATATTCTACGGCGCGGGTGTACTCGTCCAACAGTTTACTTTCACGCGGAGTGCGCTCCCGCGCCTTCACCAGGTTCAGCACATAGATTGGTGCTCCGTACCGCTCAAAGAGGTTATCAAAATGTAGAGCTGCTGCTGTGTAAAATGGGTCAACGAGGTTCAGCTCGATGGGTGGCTTGGGCGTCACGCCCGTGTTGTCCTGAGTCCAGTACAGTGGAATGGAGCCTCTGTGCTGTACATACGAGGTGTACGCTGGGCTGGCAAAGAACTTGGGACCCGGGGCATGGAAAGAAGTTGTGAGTGACTCGGACACAATCTGCTCAGTCTCGACATCGTTTGCTACATATCCCAAGTCGTTGGCGCCACGTTTGAGGAACCTTGCGCCGGCAAAGAATCTGCTTCTTCTGGCAATGACAGTAACGTGGACGGTTCGTCCGTAGATGGAGATGGCGGCTTGGTCAAAGTAGCCGTGAATAATGGGACGACACCAGTCATAGGGTGTGTTCAAAGCGTTGGCGACAGGTTGAAGCAGGTGGTTGTTCCAGACGAACATGGAGTTCAGGTCATCCTCCATAGGGCCAACCTGACCATTCAGCAACGCCTCTCGCTCTCTGGTGATGTTGTACTGCAATGTGCGAGTGATATCATACGAGTAGCTGTAGTAGAAAGATCTGGTCAAGTCCAAGTTGTTGAGGATGCCCAAGAAGCGCGTCTCCTCGGTATTGCGCTGGTCTGTCTTGAAGCTGGGCGAGGTCAAGGGAATGAGATCGGTGCCATCGATTTGGTAGACATAGTGGCCGCCTATCATGGCAACTGTGCTCTTTTTGGTTATGAGCAGCATGTACCATGGGCCGGTGAACTTGATGAAACCAAGCAGACCCCAGGTAGTGCAGCGCAGCTTGAGACCACCAGTGCCCTTGTTGCCGTCGTCGATGGTGTCCAGCAGCTGGTTCATGTCTTTCTGTGAGTAAATGGTCTTGTCATCCGTGATGCTCAGCTCAGAAGCGTCTTCTGCGGTGCGGTCAATTTTGAGGATGCGGTAGCGTTTCTCAGTGACATCGCCGCCGACCATGTAGAAGCGACTGGCGGTTTCGTAGAGACTGAACTTGTGCATCTTGTGCTTCAGCCTGGACCGGGGTCGTTCGCCAGAAGTGCCATCCAACCTGCCCACATCTTCCTCTTCCTCCTCGGGGGCTAGGGCACCCGAACGTTGGGTCGGATCTGGACTGGTGGTGCGGTGAAAAGGCTTGGCGACGGCGGGCTCGTCATCGTCGTTGTCGCCGACGCCAGCGCCGGCACGCGATGATTTGTCCTTTCTCGAGCCTTCGGCCTCGGCGTCGGCACTGGCATTATTGTGAAGGAGAGGAAACGGTGGTTTTACCAACCCTTCTCCCTCGAAATCGGCCGGAATAGGGGGGTTCTTTGGGTTCTTTGGGTTGAGGTTGTTTGGGTCCCGATCGGAACCTGAAGGCGGCGGAGGTGATACCGAGCTTGTAGCGCCAGGCTCGGGAGCGCCGCCGGCGAGGGCGCTGGCAACAGTAATGTCGCTTTCGGCTGCATCTATCATCTTGTCCGCTATTTTCCCTGCCTGACAGGGAGTATACGGGCCGGCCTTTATGCAGCAATCGACATGACTTGGTCAATGCCCAATGTTGATGATGATGCCGGTGATGACGTTGAGCAGAAGTTCGGATAAGATCTGGAGATGTACCCTGACGGCCACCTGGGGTCCCTGGCACTCAGGGCCTTCCCCGCTATTTCCATTCAATCACAGGGGCTAGGTGTAGCTTCAGTTGACCACCTGCACAGACCTCTTCCAAGACTTCCGGTTGGGTAGGTCCACTTTTGCCTCAACCACTCCCTCCCGTCCCGTTCATGGATCCAACTCTTCCCGATTCTCTTACCGTTGGCACCTATCTCCATCACCTTCGTCACTCTTTAACTCGTTCCGATCTTTCTCTTGATTGATATCTGCACAAATGGGCTTGCGCCCCCTATTTTCACGCAGTGTGATCCCAGCTTGAGTCACGTATAAATCACTACTGGGAGACAATACGGGGCGAGTTATCTTTTTTCCCTTTATATTTGGCCATCTGCTAGAGGTAGATCAGAGCTTCTCCTTGTCAAGTGGGCAATGGTAAGGAAGAGCCTCATGACGGTCATCACTTACACACCTATGTTCGTATGCTTCTTTTCCCGTTTCACCGCTCACGCCATTGCCCCAGTCTTCCAAACATGAATTATGAGGTACATATCTTTCTTTGAGAGGGATCATAATCTCAAGGAGGACTGTGTGCCTCCAACCCGTTCGAACGATCATAAGAATAAACCGACCATGTCACGGTCAGTACATCACACTTTGGATATACTCTTGCACGCATCCAAGCGTCTTGATTGCACCCTTAAACCTCAAATTCGAGGCAGTTCTGCATGACAGAATTTCTGATGGACTCTGGGCGATATGTTTCCAAGTCATTGTAATTCCTACCACACTTTCGTGATGGTCTTTTCCAACCACGACGAGCGGTACTGGGGCTGTCCGTATTTGTGTCATTCTTACGATTGCTCGCCGTCGTCGAGGTCGCCTGTTTCGGCAGAAGGCAAATCCGAAGAGCAAAGTCCTCAAAATCTCACATGGGTATAGTAAACTCATCAGTCGCTCGAGACCTGGTATCATGAACCTGATTTTTAAGATGGCGTGCAAGGCTCGGGGTTCGACAGAGAGTACACTGACATTAACCTTCTTGACAGATCCAGGTCCCGAGATGCCACGCATCTGGGTATCCTCGGGTTGGGATGCTCCATCAAGGCCGCACGTCCGCCCGGCAAACATCAAGGCGGCCGTGATCTCGTAATGCAGCATCGATCAACAGATGGATCTCCAGGCATATCCTCACAGAAAGGAGCATGAAAACGAGATATTGGTCACGGTCCATGTTTGCCTTCACATTTTAGTTCCACCACAGCTTTGGAAGGAGGGGTTTATCAGTACCTGGGCGGCGTTCAGGTTCTCACGAGTGCTGTTGCATTGCAGTTTTTCATCCCAAATCATCCCAAGTCCCAACAGTTTTCGAAAATTTCTGCCGTTCCGTGGTCGTCTTCGTTTTCACAACCCCGCGTCACAGAGATCACCATTGCAAGATCCTCCTCCGTTGTTGCGCCAGACCCTAAAGATTCTGACCGTGAGCATCTCGAGGAGGAGTATAAAACAGCTTCTGATCGAGTTGAAGGAAACGAATTTTACCTCTGGCATTCCCAGCGTCCCATCACTTTTCCATGGAGGATTACACCATGGCCAGCGTGTACGTCCCTCCCAAATTGACACCAATGTGATTCTTGAACTGACACCTCATTACAGATCACCAACCACTGTAGGGGCAACAGTGACGATGGAACAACCCTCAATTGTGGTCACCTCGTCTCCAGATGGTAGTGTCGCGGTCACGCATGAGCCTGGCGCAAGTTTGTTAACAGAGACATGCGCGACGCCCGAGTACACCTTACTTAATTTGGGACCATCTGCGATTTACGCGCCCTTTGTTGGTTGCGTAGACACCAGGCAAGACTGCTGCCCATTCCAGCCGCAATCATCGGTGGAAATAGGGTTCAACGACGTGTATCCTGAAACCTCCGATTCTGAACAGGCGGTCCTAGAACGCTGCCCCGCCGACTACTACTCGATCTCAGCCAGTTGCTGCCCCAGGTAGGCACAATCCTGCATTTGAGAAACGTAACTCAGACTTGGAATTATGCTAACCATGACTCCGTAGCGGTTACACTCCATGGACGACTGACCTAGGAGGCCAGACACCGTGCTTCAGTGTCCTCCAAACAGCAATGACACCGCCTCCCATCACGAATGCGAATACAGTATCATCCAACGGGGCCAACCCCACCGTTGTCGTCTCCGACGTTGTCTATGCCATAGGTTACCCCGTTCAAGTGCCCATCAACAGCTTTCCAGCGGAGGCCATCGCTGGTACTGTGGCGAGCGTTCTCGGACTGCTAGCTATTGCAGGGTTGGCTTTGTTTTGTTACACACGGCGGCAGAGGCGGGAGTTTCTCAACCTGGGAAACGAGCTGAACGACCTCTATGGCCCTAAAAGAACTCCGGAGCCCACAAACACATTTCGGTCAGGAGTACAAATCAGCGGGTCCAGCAGTTTCAAGGATGACAGGACCATAGTCGAGGATGGAGCATATTCACGGAAGTCAAAGGAATCTAAACGGAGTCAGCAACAACACTCGCCCTTTGACGGACACCAATCCATGGCCCCACCGGTCAACACCCCTGAGAAGGATAGCTTCCACAGAACGTCAATCCATGAGCTGCAATCGGAGCAGCAGGGACTAAATCAGAAATCCAACTTGCAGGTTGAAGAGTCCGACCAACAAGCCCCTCAACATGAAGATAGCCACTCGCACGTAAATGCCAGCGAGCATGATCTTCCCATTCCCTCGCCATTCGCATTGGACAAGCCACAACTACCTGCACTCTCACAGCAAGGGGAACTGAACGCAGACGACATAGTCAACGTGAGCAACTTTGGGGATGAAACGTTTGCTTCTGCTCACAGCAGCTATGACTCGAGCCTTTTTCAAGCACTAACAGTTGGAACCGCCCGTCCAGAGCGTCTCTCACGTGCCTACCCAAAGGTTGTCTATGTAGAGCAGAAAGATGACGGAAAGTCTCTGTCGGGTGAGGCAGCGAAGTGAGCACTGCCCGTTTCCCTTCATCTGGTGGGAAATGGAAGGGAAATCGGAAATAGGAAGCGCTATGAATCACTGTTTTACAATCAGGTATCAGATGACGCAAGTTTACATTTAGCGCAAGGTGTACTTGTGGGTAGGTGAGATCCGGGAAAGAAAAGGTTTCTCGGTTGTGTTCAAGACCGGGGAAATCCGGGGTTCGGTCAAGATCACGAAGCGGGACTTGGGCCTTCTGGTGATGTCAATACGTCGCGAACATGTGTACTTACCGTTAGACAGACGAGACCACGGTGAACACATGTTACCAGTAGCTGCGCGTCTTTTGATTGAGCAAGAGAAACATTCGATTAATACGGTTGTGGAACCAGCCCTTACTCACATCATTCCATGTCCATGCCTTTCACCTCCTATTACGACGATCAAACACCTAGAACTAGAGCGCACAAGAACAGAAAGTGGTTAGACACCTTGACTATTTTGTACAACAACCGGTAAGGATACGCTCGCTGGCAAGCCAAATCGCATCGAGGTTCCTTGTTCTAGGCGCAATCTCGAGTATATCGATCACCTCCAACCGGTCTGTACCTCACGAGAGCTTCCAAAGATACGTACCACCACACTGCACAATCATATCGTCCACAACGATTCATGCCATACAAAATCCAACATACAGAGGTACAAACGACCAATACGAGACAAAATCGCAAAGCTAGTGCCGTGATAATGAGGTACAAGTACACAAATGAGACTGTTACACGGGCTCGGTAGTCCGGGACTGGAGGAAAGGTCTAGAACCTACCGCGTTACCACACTTATACCAAAGATCTGGGACAAGCCAATTGCCTCTCATATGACTTGATGCACTGTGACGTGCCGAGATACCAGCTCAGCACCCGGTCTGTTTGGTCAAAGGTTGTTTCTTGGTATGATGCTAATGTGCAAAGGAGCCCCATCTGGGTGGGAGGGACGGATGGGCAGTATGGTGGACGCAGGGATGGACGGATGGATGCCCGACTTGTGCTCAGCTACTGCAGGTACATAAAGCCATGGTCGGTCTCTGGGAGGGCTGCTTGGGTTGATGGGGGAAGGAAGAAGGGTAATTTGTTGTTGACCTCTGTGACCTGGCAAAGCTCTTCATAGAACTGATAACAACACGGTGATCCACAGACCTTAACTTGAAACGAATCCGTCGTTGACTTGGTACGACAATACCTCAGCTACACCCTCGGTTTCTATTCATATCTAGGTTATAACAGTGTTTCAACCAGAGCATTTTTGTTCTTAAACTAACTTAAAGATAATTACCACTCTCATGATATCTACCGAGAACTGTATATCAACACGTCGTTCGGCTACAGCCACCCTCAAAAATGCATCGTCTCACAAGACGACCAAGCGAGTCCTGTCCTCCCGGTCCCGCTCACCGTTCCCGTTCAGAGAGAAGTGCTCGACACGATGACGGGAAGAGTTATCGAAGTCACCGGCGACAGTCCTCCCCGGCGTTGACACATCGCCGAAGAGAGAGCCAAAGAAGTACATCAATCATTAGCAATTCACGTTTCTCGACTATAGATGAAGACCATAAAGATGATCCGGAATCGGAATACGACCCCCGGGATGTTTATCACCTCACACGCCCTCTTGATCCGAACGGGGACAAGGATGAAGAAAAGAGTCAATGGGACTTGGACTTGGAAGCAGGGAATGCCATGCCAATAAAACGGAAAGATGAGTATGATGAAGATGCATGCTTTACTCGTTCACGAGGCAGAACAAGACGACCATCCACCATTGGTACTCTCTCTCCGCGTACACGCTCACCAGTGAATCGAAGTCGTCGACAGTCAGTGCGATCAGACCACGGAACAGGCCAGCACGGAAGAGAATCCGTACGATCAAGACCGAGGCGAGAACCAGATCATGAAACATCAGACTCCGAAACAGCTATCTCTCCTCGCACCCGCCGACGCCGCGTCAACCGGTCACCAACACCTCCACATAGAGGTTCAGTTATTCACGACGTTTACTATCCCCGTCCACGTCCAAGATCCCGCACAACACCCTATCACCACCTCAACTACACCGACGACGAGCGGGAAGAAGACACATACCACAACAACTACCCCCGATCCTACCACCGCCGGGCACACTCCAACCCTCCGTCCACTTCTTACCATCACCAGTCCCGCCGTCCCTCGCTCAACCTCGCAACCCTCAAATCCTCCCCCAAGACCGCCTCCCTCCTCAAAGCCGCCACCCGCGCTCTCGAAGCCGGCGCCGCCACCGCTCTCAAACTCCGCAAGGACTCGCCCTCCACCCCGCTTTTTTCTGCACAATCAGGCTCCAAAATCGCTTCAGCAGCTCTCGGCGCCGCGGTCGTGGACGGGTTGATTGAGCATGAGCAGAGGCGCCATCCGAAGCTGATGCGAAAGGGCGGGTTGAGACATCATGTGGTTAAGCAGGTGGTGCAGAGGGGTGTGGCGGGGTTAGTGGGAGGGATCTTGGAGGAAAGTTTGGCTGGTGGTGGTAATGGTGGTGGTGGTGGTGGTGGGGATGAAAAGGGGGAAGGGCGACAGAAAGGAGGGCGGAGTGGGAGGAAGGAAAGTGTCAAGAGAGTTGCAAAGGGGATGGTGAGGGATTACGAAAAATGGGAGAAGGGGAATGCCGATGGTGGAAAGGGAACGGGTGGGAAGAAAGAAAAGGTGGGGAAGAGTAGTGAGAGGGGAAGAAGGGAGAGTCGTGAGGAGAGGGAGAGAGACACTGGTGGGGAGGAGAGAAGAAGGGAAAGGACGAGGGAGAGGGAGAGGGGGAGGGAGGAAATTGTTCGTGGAAGGAGAAGGTAGAAGAGAAGGAGTGATTGGTTAAATTGTTCAACTGATAGCTCCCCACGATGCGGTTGATGTAGAGTATTCATCCGAGGAGATGAGTTTTCACCCAGATCTCGAAGACAACGAAAAATTCGGATTCCGATCGGACGGTCCAGGTATCAGATATGGTTCCGATCGGGATGCTTACCGAACAAATATGACCGTGAGAAGATCAGCAATGCAGAATATGACAAGCCGATGGGCTAACGTACCCGAAACACGTGAAGAGAAGTTGGTGATAAGGGCATTTGAGCATTTAACTAGGATTGAACTGCTGGGGAAAAGCACCATCAAAAACAGGGCGTTTTCTGTCAGAACAATGTCAACATCTCAAATATATATGTAATCATTCCTTGTTACACAGCATCCAGCTGTAGACTGCAGCTTCCTGTCATCCAAGACTCAACTAACATGCGGAAGCAACCCTGGCATTCAATCATGGCATGGGAAGTATGCATGGAATGGCGTGAAGTAAGAGCAATGTGCGTGTGTGCAATGGTTTTATTGGTGGCTTCTTTGTATCCAGCTGAAGTACCTCATAGCAGAGTCAGATCTGAGACAGAGTCAATAATAGCTTTACAGCTGCAGACATGCAACGAATCGGCTCAAGTACGCGATGCGGGATCGACATGTTGATGCAGAAGGATTAGAAACTTTGAAGTATCATCTTCTCCCACTTTCCACCTCAACGTGACGACAAATCAAGGTTGACTGGAACCAATGAGCAGAGAAGGCGCCACTGACACTCGGAAATATTTCGGTCTGGACCAGCCGTGCCTCTTACACTCAGCTCGGAAACCGTTCCAGGCGAGTTTTATCTCACGCTCACCCATCGGACTTCCTCCAACGAATCCCCGGAGTACCGAGTTGTGATTGCCGGAACGTGGACTGTAGTCCCCAAAGTAAACAGGAAAAAAGTTGGATGATACTTTCCCGTCAAAACATATTAAAAGCTGTGGTTATCAAGTTAGCTTGAGAAATACTTGTTCCTACTTTGTCGTCTTAAGTGAAGTTCTGACGAAGGACTGCATCATTTCGCTTCTTTGGTTCTCACACAACTCCTCTCTTCATACATTTATTTCTATTCTCCCATCCCGCCATTCAACTTGGATTTACAGCACCAAGAATTCAGCCCCGACTTTACACACAAACCAACACAAGAAGACTTAGACGCAAGCTATTGCATTTGGCACTATGGGTTCCGTAATGCAGGAAGAAAAGCCTAAGATGACCCGGGTCTTAGCCCTCCACGGCTACGGCACCAGCGGTGAAATCTTTCGATCACAGACAGGTGAGTTTTCCTCCTCCCCCTCCCCCCTCCTCCCCATTCCCTTCCTCTTCACCACGTGTACCACCACTGACACACAATCAACCCAAACAGCCGCATTCCGCTTCAAACTCCCCAAAGAAACGTATACCTTCACCTTCCCCAACGCACCCCTGCCTTCGGCCCCGACCGTCGGCGTCGACAGCATTTGGAACCAGGTCCCCAAATTCTACGGCTGGTGGCCGGTCTCATCCTCCAACATCTCTGAGATCCGGACCTCGCACGACCATCTGGAAGAACTTCTTTCTTCCGAAGAAGGTCCCTTCGACCTCGTCATGGGTTTCTCCCAGGGCTGCACCTTGCTCATGTCCTACATCCTCTACCGGTACCAGGAACACATGCTGACCCGACCATCAGCTGGTGAGAAATTCGAGTTGCCGTTCAAGGGCGCCATGTTCATCTGCGGCGGCCCTAGCCTCCATGTCCTGCAAGACCTGGGAGTGGATGTGACGGAAAAGGCGTGGAAGGTGCATAATGCCACTGCTGCCTTGCTTCACAAGCGTACGGAGCAATTGAAGTTCAAGGCGGATAATCCTGATACGATCAAACGCGGGGAGGGGCTGTGGGATGAGGTCGGGGACTTGATGCATGATCCGACTTCTAAGAAGGAGTTAGATCCGGAAGATGTGTTTGGGTTGGATTTTACCGACGAAAGAATGCGGATGGCGGTGGGGGATCTGGGAGAGATCGTGCCGACTGTGCATGTGTATGGCGGGAAGGATCCTAGGTGGCCGGCCAGTGTCCAGCTGGCGCAGATGTTTGAGGGCGGGATGAACGAGAGGTTTGATCATGGGGGCGGACATGAGTTGCCGAGGACGACGGAGTGTTCGATGAGGATGGCGGAATTGATGGAGAAGTTGAGGAGGAAGGTTGATGGTTTGGAGAGGGAGGAGCAGTAGAGAGGTTACCTTAATTACATACTGTTTTGGACGGTCCCGTTTTCGTTTTCAGTCTTGCTTTTCATACTTTTGATAGACATGAGGAGGGGATAACAGATGGTGGAACTAGACGAGAAACGAAGAAGGAAAAGCATATCATATCATAGCTAGGAAGAATTGATCCCTAGTTAACAAGGTAGCATGAAATAACCATGTACCATATTGCCCATGTTCACTTTGCTTTGCTTGTTCGCCATGTTATATTCTGTCTAGTTAAAAGATGGCCTTCCATGCACTTCGCCCAGTGCCTCTACCTCGATGACACGTATGCCTCCGTGCCCTACTGAAGGCTTTTCTAGCCGGCCATGCACCTTTCCTGCCCATCCCATTTTTCTACCAGAGCCAATAGTCTATGTACTTCATCGCCCATATCCCAAACAACAAGATAACCATGCAGGCCAAGCAATTATGCAAAAAAGTTCAAGCCCGTGATATCTATACTCCGTCCCATGCTCAACTTCTTCAAAGATCTTTATACAAGGTAAGTGTCTGTTTATACAATACGTTTCGACATGAGCTGGTTCGCAAACGCCTGCTCTCTCTTCGCCGTCTCCCTCAACTCCCCCTCCGCCATCTCTGACCAGTTCTCCTCCTCATCATATCTCTCAGCGTACCCCTCTTCCGTCGCCAGCACGTCCTCAGTCTCGTTGAAGACGCTCTTCTCCAAGTCCGAGTCCGCTCTGATCATGGTCTTGACAGCCTTGATGGTAAGCGGGCACTCCGCATTTACCCACTCCAGCTGATTGGCTGCCTCCTTCTGCCAGTTGGCCAAGTTCTCCAAGTCCATGTACTTCTTGGCCATGATGATCAAGGTGTGCGAGATGGGTCTTGGGCGCTGAGGGAAGGAGCCCAGACGACGGAGCTCGAGCGGCAGCTGGTTCTTCATGGCAGACCGCGCGCGAACCCGATACCAGCCTGTCCAGTTGGGCATGAGACGCGCCTCGCACTCGCCGAAGGCCTCGCGATAACGATTCATGCGCGCAAGCGATTGGACGTAGTAGTTCCAGTTCTTGCTGTCGAGCTCGAAGCCACGACTGCGGACGTCCTTGACGAATGCCATGAGCCCGTCGGCGTCGTTCTCGTCGTAAAAGACGCGCTGCATCGTCTTAATGGGGTCGCACAGGATCCACTTGTAAGGGCCGACAAGTTGCTGAGCTGGTGTTTCCGCACCCTCAGCACCCGTATCCCGTGGCTCCTCGGCGACTTCACCGAAGGCTTGTAATGTCGTCTTCCTGAGAACCTGATTCCAGATCTCTCTGACTCGGTCGAACTTGCGCTCATGGTAGTCGGCGAGCATCATATTGTTGAGCAGGCGGATGGGCAAGTTGCTAGGCTCCTTTGCAGATGGGAATTGGGTGGTGTATAGATCCATGATTTCTTCGAGGGTGCCGAAGTCCCGGATCTGCGTCAAGATGAACAAGACGTGGGCGAATTGGTTCACCACGGGGCGAGGAGCCTCTTGCTGACCCTTTCCAGTCTTCTGCAGGGTCTGCTTGAACAGGTTGATGGCCTTTGTAATGTAGTACTTTTGATCCTTTTGCCACCTTTGGTGGCCGGGGAGCTGCTGCCATCTGCCCAAGGCGTCAATGACACGAGTGGTCCGCTCGGCCATCTCGGGTTCTTGACGCTTGGACAATATCTCGTTGAGTTTGAGGGCCATATGTGGTTCACGACTGTGAATGAAGGAGGCCATAAGGAGAACGTAGTGTTCAGGTGCGGGCTTGAAAAGATTGTCCTTCTCGGAAGCCCGCAAAAGGTTCAGAGCGTGATGTGACTGTCTGCAGTACATCAAGCCGTACAAGAGATGGCTATAGGTCTCATTGTCGCTAGGAATCTTGTTCTCGTGCATGTATTCCACGAGGTTATATAACCCCTTGAGGTCTCGCCTCCTGGCGTGGTGATTGAGAAGGGTGTTAAAGAGAACCGTATACTTGCCGGGAAGTGTGCCCTTCTTCACCGTCTGCTTCACAATGACCTCGGCCTCACGGAATCGGTCGTTCTGGCAGTAGGCTTCAATTAAGCTGTCCACCATTCCCACATCAGGCTTGATGCCGTCAGCCTTCGCGGCGTTGAAGAGCACCAAAGCAAACGAGAGGTCACCACGCACAGCGGCCATACCCATCACAGTTCCATAGGAATAGGAGTCCGGCTTTCCGACCTCGTCCAAACGCTCAAATGCCTCGAGACAGCCACTGTAATCCGATGCTTTTGCGTAAGCATTGAGCAAGATATTCCAGTGAACAGTCTTTGGTTTACCCAGGCCCGTCTGCTCTAAACAGTCTTCCAGCACCTTGCGAGCCGCTTCAGGGTTGCCGTTGCGCGCGTGCACGTGCATCAGACTGGAGATGAGTGACATATCTCGCGCGGCTTCCGCTGGGAGGTGCTTACGGTACTCGTTGGCCAGACGTGTTACCGACTTTGTATCACCACGGCCAGCATAGAATGCCAGGAACTTTTGATAAACTCGCTTCTCAAGGGCGTCGTAGCGGCTGTACCAATCTTTCAGGACAAGCTCCATGCCGCCAGCGTCGGTAGGATAAAAGATGTCGAGCATGGCGCGCAACACCCAAATACGGACCTCGGCCTTGGGTAGTTGACGATACTTCTTGTAGGCTTCCGCCGCAGCTCTGGTCTTGCCCTGTTCGATAGCCAGCTTGATGAAAGCCTCGTATGCCGATGGATCCGCAGCATGGCGAAGAAGAACGACTGCGTCCGTGGGCGAGAATAAGCGTAATGACTTGTTGGCAAGGACTCTGACGAAATCTGCGATCTCTGTATCGACTGCAAGTGCTGAGCTAGGCGTAGACTCTGTATCGGCCGGAGACTTTGTCTTAACCGACTTGGTCTTGGCGGACTTTTTGGCCTTCGTCGCTGGCACCTTGGGCGCAACAAATTCGACAAACTCGGCCAGCTTATCCCGAAAGCCGGGCACGGAAGCCAATGTCTTGAATTCGACAGTAAGCTTTTCAGAGCCCTTGAAGCTGCTAAATAACTTCCAAATGTCCAAGGCCAGCTGCCACGAAGAGGTGTTGAATGCGTGTGCCATGACATCGTCAAGTCCCTGATGAAGACCTCTCTTCTTGAGGGCATCGGAAAATAGCACCTTTGCATTGTCCACGTCGTCCAAGGCAAGTTCGGCCTTGATAGCGGCTTTGATTATGGATTCCGTCCACCGCTCAACAGGCACGGTGGCGAACAGCTCGCGGATCCTCCAAGCATCAACCGACCGACCAGACTGCGCAAAGTTGACCATGACATCGCCCTTGAAATCCTCCTGCTCGTTGGGCTCAAGCTTGTTGTAAGCCGTCCATATCTGCTCGTACATGGGACCGAACTCTGACGGCTCGAGAAGCTCCCGCAGTACCCGAGGGCCAGACTTTTTGGAAACCTTCTGGGGTCTCCTATCTTGGATGACGCCACTCTCCTGCTCATTCCAGTACTGTTCGAAAAGGTCGGCGTTCATGAACGAGTCGTCCGCTTGCGGTTTCTCTTGCGGTTCTTGCGCAGCGCCGGAGTTGTTATTTATCGCTGAACTGTATAAACGTGTCGCATTTCTACGAGTCTTGTGCGCCGATTCGAGGGATGGTAGTCGAATGGGGAGAATATTCCGAAGAAGAGCGGCGGTTCCACTTGGGTATAGGAAGTCGAGCAAGAACATGGACGCCTTCATGGGCTCTATTCTGCTTTCGGTCTTGGTCGTCTGCGAGCTACCAAGGTTCTGCGTCGTTGTCGGTGTCGAGTCTCGCAGGAGGGTCTGGTAGGCATCGAGGAGCTCAAGGTCGGAGGCGCCATGTTGCCAAAAGCCTGTGTGTAGCTGTCGCTGGCTCTTCAGCGAGGTTCTGGCGACGGGGAGAACTCTCTGGAGGCTGCATGTTTCGAGGCTCGCCGCCGTCCTCTCCAGCATCGCGTTGGAAGGCGGAGGCCCAGCCAGCTGGCGTAGTTAATGTGTGAGTCGTAGGTGTTGGTCGTCTCTCTCGGGCATGTTCCGCGCTCGTTTTGTTTGTCCCTCGCTCGTCTCGGCTTGTCTTCCTTGATAAGGTAGTGTTCGAACTGGGATGGGCGTTCTGGAATAGAGTCTGTGGGCGCGTTTGGGAGGGAGGTGATAGCTTCGGAAAGCTACGTCGTATGAGAGCTAGGATTGCTTCCGAATCGGGGTAAGAGAAAACAACGCTGTCGGATTGCTCGGTCACAATTCGCGGGACTAACAGCAAAAAATACCTTGAAAGGACGAGACTCTGGCTGTCGCAAGCACCAACCAAAATTTTTGAGCGCGATTCGACCATTTCACGGCGCGAAAGTGGGGCTCACCTACCTACCTCTACGACATGGCCGCCCGCCCAGCCCGCCCGCGCCGCCGTCCAAAAAGCTTCCGTCCCAGCAACGTGCAGAGAGTGAGACGGCCGTGTGAGCTCTCCTGGTCCGGTGGATCCCCTAGGTACACACTACAGTATCTCAGATCTCGTCGGGGGTGCCAATCACTGAAATCCGACTGCTGCCAGCTGTTCCATGCTGGCCCAAAGCTCACTACGATCGATGGCTTCCATCAATCCCATGCGGGGCAATTGGGGGGACAACACAAGGGAACTGAAGTAACATGGACCCGAACACGGTGCTCCATGAGAAGAGAGCTGCCCACACGCCCCACACTTTCCAGGTTCAACCTCGACGTCGAGACTCACTGCAAGCCGCCAGACGTACAAGGAGGCCGTCTCCAACTGCTCTTTACATACCACCACGGCATTGATCGAAGCTACCTGCCATACGCCAAGTTGCGCAACGGGTCGGTGCTTCATCACTGAACTCCTTTCTGTAGGACCCTCTAGTTGCGACCGGGGCGCATCACCTTGATTACACATAACCAACCTCAACACCATGGATATCACAAAGTTCGTGGTATCCCACCGGGAGAACGCCCTCCTCTACGGTGACTATGCGACATATCGCGCCCAACTCTCCAGGAAGCTTCTCAACTCCCGCAAGAAGCTCAACATTGCGACCAAGAGCCGAGGCAAATTCCACCCCAAGGCCCAGATTACCGCTGAGCAAATCTCGGACAACCATGAGTACGACTCCCTCTTGTGCTTGTCGTGGTGGCGCAATGCTTGCCGGCCGTCCTGCTAACCTCGTCTCGTGTGCTACTCTCAGATACCTCCACCTTGCGCTTCTCACGGCCGAGCGCACATGGGCTCATGCCATGTCCATGAAGGCTTCGCATGCTGCTGACACCAAGGGCATGACCGGCAAGACCAGGTCACACATTGTTTCTAGACTCGAAAAGGGTGCCCGCACGGCCGAGAAGCTCGCAGATGTGCTTTCCCAGGACGCAGTCAGCGGCGCCAGCCCCAACGACATCCTCGAAGCCCGCGCCTACGCCGCCTTGCTCAGGGGTGCCGCCAACTTTGAGAAGCAGAGCTGGGAGGATTGTATCGTCAGCTACGCCGTTGCCCGCATGATCTACAGTGCTCTCTCGACCTCTACCAAGGGCGACATCTACAAAGACCTCCTCACCGATACCATCGACCCGTCGATCCGCTATGCTGCGTACCAGGCCAAGATTCCTCGCACCCAACCGATTCCTTCGATTGCCAAAAAGGCGTTCGCCAAAGCCGACGATGACTTGGTGGACCGTGTCAAGGCTGTCAACCCTAGTGTTTTGGAGCAGGGCGATGTGACCATGACGGGCGTTACTGGCGCTGAGGGAGCACCGACTACCATCACATGGCGCTCACGGGAGGTCAAGATCGAGGACGCTTCTATTGCCGTCGCCTGGGCTTCGGTACAAACAGCAAAGGCCAAGCTGACCGAGAGGCTATCCTCTGCCAGCTCGCTGGCACCCAAGGACAAGGCCGCCGCTTACGATGACATTCTGGCCGCAACCCAGGATGCTGTCGATGCGACAAAGCAGGCCATTGACGAGCTCCGGGGAGAAGGTGTCACACAGAGCGATCCTCGCATGCAGAGCTTGCAGATCACAAGGACAGCCGTCAATTTTGAGATGATCAGCTGGCGAATTGGCCGCAACAGGGTGCTCGCTGGCGAGCTTGACGGTGCGCGCGCCACCTTTGATGACCTGTCCAAGAAAGGAAAGAAGGCCCAGGAAGCTGAGCAGGCGTCCGAGAGGCCCAAGGAGGAAGCTCCCGGCCGTCAGATTGCCAAGCTAAAAGAGAAGGTGGTTCTGTATGACGGTACTCTTCAGAGTCTGGAGACCATCACAGAGCTGCCTGGTGTTGCGAACGACCAGGAGCTCTTCACTCATCTGCAAGCCACTTCGCAATACTTTACTGCTCTCAAGTATGTTCCCTTCCTTCCTTTCTCCATTCCCCCTTTCCCAATTTTTTTAACCCGTAACTAACACGCGCCCACCCCCCAGGTCCCTAGCAATCGCCCGCTCCCACTCCCTAGCCCACAATGACGCTAACGCTCTCGCCCTCATCCGCCACGCCCTCATCCAAACCGAGTCCGCCCTGCCCATCCTTTCTTCCACCTCCTCCTCCGAGGAATCCTCGCCAGCCCGCAACATCCTCGTCTCTGCCGCCGACGTCCAAACTCTGCACTCCCTCCTCAACGGCGAGATCCAGCGTGCCCGCGCCCTGGTGGAGATTAGCGAGCACAACAAGAACAAGAAGCCTTCTAGTGGAAGCAGCAGCAGCAACGGAAAACCCCTAATCGGCCAACTAGCCAATTACCCCTCCAGCGGCCAGGTCAACCTGGAGAACATTGTTGTGTATCCGCCCCGCTTGGAGGCCATCCCTGTTAAGCCTATTTTCTTGGATGTGGCGTGGAATTATATTGATTATCCTGAGAAGATTGCTGCTGGTGGGGACAAGAACCAGCAGCAGCAGCAAAGGACTGAGGAGGTTCAGGAGGAACAAACTCAAGAGGAAGAGAAGCCCAAGAAGAGGGGATGGTTTGGGTTTGGCCGGTAGAGAATTGTCATTGGGGGGGCGGTGTACGAGATGTGTTTTGGAAGTAGCGATGTTTTGTTGAAAATATAATGACGGCTGTTGTATGTGAAAAAAAAGAAATGAAAAAAAAGACGGTCTGCTCGTGAACATGTTGCAAGCAATTGAGGTTGGGTAACATGCCGCTATGACCATGTTTACCTACGTTATGTACTATCCACCCAGCGACAAGCTATGAACTCGGATCGTTGCCATGACGTATATACCACTAGAGGTAGTTACCGGCGTACTGATTGCCTCATTTCATCCGAGTGTTTCAAGTCTCGAAATTGTATGGTCGGCTTTTATGTGTACATATATTGAGTACATCTGCATTCAAGCTGACTTGTGACTTGGGCAACCCTTTGACCTGTTTTTTGTTTGTATTGGGATCACTTCAACCCTTTGATTGTGTATGGTACGAGTAGGTCCGATAACGGCTCCCGGATTGTCGCTTTCGTATCACAATCGAGGCCGGCCGATTAACGGAATGGATAACAGCGGCATACTGTTATCACACAATCACATACAACTACCACAGTAAACATGACACGATAGCTTGTTTGGGAAACGCTTACTATTCAATTTCATTTTTATCGTTAGGAGGGGAGGTTGATTACTTCGAACTTTGTCCCTTGTGGGTGGTGCATCGTGTACAATTAACATGATATATACACATACGCGCACCCCAGGCAGCCTCCCTTTTCCAGCACCTCCTGCTTGTCCTTCCCGTTGCCCATGCGAAAAACCGGTTAACCTATTTCGCATCTCATCGCATCATTTTTGTAGAATGGAAAGATATCGTAAAGATAGATGAAGATTTTTTATTGTAACCCCCAAAAACGCAGGAAGTTTTGATGCTCAATAACGCCTTCCGCCGCCCTCTGCGGTATTAAACACAAGATCCAGCATGATAGACCTCAAAGAGAAACATGACATATGAGTACAAGGGAGAAATACACAGTGGAGATCATTCCGCTCCAACCAAGCTACTTAGACACCGGGGAGAAAGAAGTATGTGGGTATAGTGAGAAAACGTGAAAAGGAAAACCTAAAAGCTGTTGGGCTTCAGATTTACTCCTTCTTCTCACCCTCAGTGCTCTGCTGCTGCTGCTCGCCAGCCTCAGCACGGGCCTTGTGCATCTTGTCGAAGAGGTTCAAGCTGGCAACCTGGAGGTCGTCAATCTTCTCCTTGAGGGCATCGGCAGAGATGGCCTGCTCGCCAGACTGGCTCTTGGCGATGAACTCGCGGAGGCTGGCGATCTTCTCACGGATGGCATCAGCCTCGGTCTTGTCGAGACGGTCAGCGTACTCGTTGAGGGCCTTCTCGGTATCGTTGAGAACGCCATCAGCCTTGTTGGCGGCCTCAATGGCAGCCTTGCGCTCCTTGTCCTGCTCGGCATACTTCTCGGAGTCCTCAACCATCTTCTCAATCTCGGCCTCAGAAAGACCGGAGCCGGAGGCGATGGTGATGGACTGGTCCTTGTTGGTGGACTTGTCCTTGGCGTGAACGTGGACGATGGAATCGGCGTCAATGTCGAAGGTGACCTCGATCTGGGGAACACCACGGTGGGCAGGGGGGATACCGACAAGCTGGAAGTTGCCGAGCATCTTGTTGTCCTTGACGAGCTCACGCTCACCCTGGAAGACCTTGATCTCGACGGCGGTCTGGAAGTCGGCAGCGGTGGAGAAGACCTGGGACTTCTTGGTGGGGATAGTGGTGTTACGGTTGATCAGACGAGTGAAGACACCGCCGAGGGTCTCGATACCGAGAGAGAGGGGAGTGACATCGAGGAGGAGAAGGTCCTTGACCTCACCGGAGAGGACGGCACCCTGGATGGCAGCACCGATGGCGACAGCCTCATCGGGGTTGACGGACTTGGCGGGGTCACGGCCGAAGATGCTCTTGACGGACTCGGCAACCTTGGGCATGCGAGTCATACCACCGACGAGAATGACCTCCTGGATCTCCTTGGCCTGGAGGTTGGCGTCCTTCAGGGCCTTGCGGACGGGCTCAATGGTGCGCTGGATGAGGGGATCAACCAAAGCCTCGAGCTGAGCACGGGTGAGCTTCTGGTTGATGTGCTTGGGGCCGGAAGAGTCGGCAGTAATGAAGGGAAGGTTAATGTCGGTCTGGAGGGAAGAAGAAAGCTCGATCTTGGCCTTCTCGGCGGCCTCACGGATACGCTGGATGGCCATGCGGTCGCCAGAGAGATCGATACCGGTCTCCTTCTTGAACTGCTGGACGAGGTGGCGGACGAGATGGATATCGAAATCCTCACCACCGAGATGAGTGTCACCGTTGGTGGACTTGACCTCGAAGACGCCGTTCTGGATCTCAAGAACGGAGATATCGAAGGTACCACCACCAAGATCGTAGACGGCGACAATGCGGTCCTGCTCCTTCTCAAGACCGTAGGCAAGAGCGGCAGCAGTAGGCTCGTTGACGACACGGAGGACGTTAAGGCCGGCAATCTGACCAGCATCCTTGGTGGCCTGACGCTGAGAGTCGTTGAAGTAGGCAGGGACGGTAACCACAGCGTTCTTGACGGGCTTGCTGAGGAAAGACTCGGCAGTCTCCTTCATCTTCTGGAGGATGAAACCACCAATCTGGGAAGGAGAGTACCTCTGGCCACGGGCCTCAACCCAGGCATCACCGTTGGTGTGCTGGACGATCTTGTAGGGAACCTCCTTGATGTCGCGCTGGACCTCGGGGTCGGTGAACTTGCGGCCGATGAGACGCTTGGTGGCGAAGAGGGTGTTCTCGGGGTTGACGACAGCCTGACGCTTAGCGGCAACACCAACAAGGCGCTCACCGTCCTCAGTGAAGGCGACGACGGAGGGGGTGGTACGGGCACCCTCGGCGTTCTCAATGATGCGGGGGACCTTGCCCTCCATGATGGCAACGGCGGAGTTGGTGGTACCTGGAGGCGAGGAGACCTGAGTTAGCCATGTCGGAGCTCGTGTGTTGGTGGTAGTGATGCTACATACCAAGATCGATACCGATGACGGAACCAGTGACCTTTCCGTTCGTCTCCGTTGACTCGAAGCGCGCGAAGGCGGGGGTCATGGGCTTCCTGAGCATACCCGCAGCGCGGGTAGCAATGGAGGCCTTGGGCAGCTGTAATCAAGAGGGGAACATGTCAGCCATTGTCATTGTTGAAAGTATTCACGAATATGAAACGCGCCATTATCGCGGTCTTGAAGTGAGGGAAAAGTGGAAGCAGCGGATGCTGCAAAGTGCAGGTGCAAGCGCAAGTGCAAGCTCGGTTTATAACTTACAGCCCTGGTAAGCCTTGTGGACATCATCTTGTGTGTGTTTGTGACTCTAGATTAAAAACAAAAATAACCCCTTTGGCAAACAGACAGGGCCGGGAATCACCACAACGCAGACGGGAAAGAGGTGATGGTGGAAGAGGAGAGGGTGGTTATGAATGAGGATGCGTGAACGGGGAGCGGAGGCCGAGGGGGAGCTGGTGGTCAAGCTCTTTTGTACTGCGAGGGAAAAAATTCAACAACCTGGTCATCGAAGGCGTTGGAAATTTTGCTCGGCTCTGCTCCCTCTCAGCACTCACACGGCCCAGTGACTGGATCGGCAGCGACTCCAGCGGGACCTCAGCTCCAGTTGGCACCGCGGGGGGGCCACTGCCCACCCACTGAGAGCAGCCGCATGCACGATAAGTGGGGCGCCGAGCAAGCTCCGCACGGGCCACTCCGTCAATTGTCGCAATGGCGGGCGAAGGCGGGGAGCCTGCCCTTGGGGGAGGATTGAAGTCTTCCTCCTTCGACCCGTTTCCTCCGTCCACCGAGAACTCCGAGCTGCCGTCAACCTCGCCGTCTTCAAGGCGAGATCCAAAACATCCGGAAAGCCCATTCCCATCTTGGATTTTGCGACAGCACGTGACTCCACTTTGCCGTCCATGGACCCTTTTTTTTTGGTTTTCCAGAGAGCAGGAACTGGTCCCTGCTCGGGCAGCCTGGGGTCGGTCCGGCTCAGCCTGGATGCTGGCCGGCCGAGGTTTGATAATGAGAATGGCCCGAATGGGTGAAGGGAGGAGGAGGGGAGAGGCGGGCTCGGGCGGGTATGCGTGCGTAACAAGCTACCTACCTCTATGGCCTGTGACGGCATCGGGGGAGAGTGGATGCGCTGCTTGAAGCGGCCTGTTACATACTACGGTCACGCCGGGTATTGCGCGCTACTATACACTATAGGTATATATCTCCATGCTTTGCTCCAGAAACAGCAATGAGTGTTGGAGATGCGATGCCATGTCATTGATCTTGTCTATCTGTTACGGAGACTAGACTACAACTCACTGTGCGCCAAATCACCTCCGTTGTTGCGCGTAACTAGAGGTAAGCACATGTATCGATCAGCCAAACCTCAGACTCGGATGTGTCTGATGATGTACCTGGCTGGCCACGACGGAGGTACCTGCCTTGTGAAGTGGAGTGGAGGACCCCGGTTTTGGAAGGTTGAGGTACCTTTGACAGTCTCAAGCTTGGAGGTAGGTTAACTACCTGAAATAACCTCTTATTGTTGTCAACATTCCAAGGTCTTTCCCAGGAAATTTTAATTTGGGACTTTCTTCAGCTGCGCGGCAGAACGACTTCGCAAGCACTGCATTGTGTTGTCATTCCGTGGGTCAAAGTGGTGTGTCTAAGTGGGTGGCGAGCTTAGGACATTACGACTTAATGTAATGGGAAAAGGGACTTGACGTTTGACGCGGGTTTGCGACAACACTCAGAAAGCAATGACGAACTGGTCGGACGGGCCTCTCCTATTGTTTCCTCGACAACTAACATCACTTTCATTGACTTTCTTATTCTAAAACTCCGTCACCAGCTTTCAACTATCCTACATTGTAATCCAATTCACCCGCATCAACCTTTGTCCCCAATCCCGACCAAGATAGCCCGGCATCTCGCAATCCGACGACACTCAGCATTCGACGTTCCACGCGATCCTTCTAGTTGGTTCCTCCTTCTTTGACATCGACTTCCCTCGACGATACCTAGCCATCAACAGCGCGGAATTGTGCATGGTCATCGCAAACTGATTTGGAACTGCCCGGTCAACATAAACCGCCAAGACTTTCCCACAATGACGGTCAAGGACGACGTGTAAGCTGATGCCCGAGTCCCGAGTCTATTCCGCGAGTTGCACCCGGTGCCCCCCCCCTCCACCCCCAACTACCACCCCGAAAATTGAAATCACATTCCTTCAATGCTGACAGAAGTCTTGCGTCTAGTTATCATGCAACCGACCACTTGATCCTCCCCAAGCCTCGACGCCGCTATGGCACCAGTGTCCATCCTAGGTACGTGCTTGGTTCATGCCCATTGCGACACACCTACGTGGCATTTGGTCGCTAACCCTTAATTTGTTTTGCAGTCACTGGCAGTTGCGTTCTATGGTGGGCGTCGAGGACAACAACGTGGTTTATTTTCCCGGAGGAAGGGACAGCACCGAGGTCCAGAGACTCAACATCACAACCCAAGAGATCGAAACCATCAAGCGCCTTCCTTTTCAGCCTAGATGTCTTGTCGCGCGGCATGGGTGGATCTGCTGTGGTGGCGAGACCGGCGAGTTTACGGCGATACATGTCCGCGAAAGGACCCCTCAGAACGATGCCAATGCGCAGCTCAACACGGATTCGGACGATCAGGTCCCTGGTCAGGAGCTACTGGACGAACTCAGCCGTGACTTGGACGACGAAGACTCGGTAGAGGTCGCGCGGGCGTTGGCTCGGGCCCAAATCATAACTGCTGCGCGAGGCAATACCAACAACGACAACAAGAACCTATCTGTCACAAGCAAAAAGTTTGGCAAACAGCGGGTGAACTGCATCACTCTGTGGTTTCCACCGACTTTGGTACCAGCCGCGGCAGGCGCATACAACGAACCAGTTGCCGTTCTTTCAAACAACGACAATTCTGTTTCGTGTGTAAGCTTATGGGGAGAGGAGGCCTTGGACGAGATCACATACCCGGACTGTGTCAACCGTGCTGTCATCTCGCCCGACGGCCGGCTCCTTATCGCCATCAGTGACGATCCCTATCTCTACGTGCACGAGAGGGTTGAGAAGGATGAGCCGTGGATGAATACGTACCGTTTGTCCCATCGAACACATCAATGGGTTCCGCTGCGTAAAGTTCCCTTGAAGAGTCAAAGCAAAGATGATCGGTCGGAAAATAGGTATGTGCATCGTCTTCTCTACGCATTTTCTCTTGTTTGCGCATTCTTCTAACACCGCGATAGGGGGAGTTTTGCGGCATGCTTTTCCACTACGGGGAGTTATCTTGCTGTCGGAACTCAGTATGGAATTATTTCGGTCTTCGATGTTGCGGCCTTCTCCGTCCCTGGATTAGATCCCCTCGTGACGACCTTCGGCTCGTCAAGGCCAAATGCTGAGCTAGGTGCCATCCGTGACATGGCTTTTGCGCCCGGGTCCACGGACCTCTTAGCATGGACTGAAGATCGCGGCCATGTCGGTGTTGCCGACCTCCGAACCGGTTTTCTATCGCGCCAGATCCTGGACCTAGACAAACGAGACGATTACGACCACGTCACCATATCCGATAGGAGCGCTATCGACCCTGGCCTCCTTCTCCTCGCAGCCGCCCGCACCGATGACAATGAGGCATCAGCATCCGCCTCACCACCATCTCGTTTGCGGGGTATCGATCTTCTTGCAGCCCTGGAAGCTCGACGGGAACGCTCAAATAGAGAGCATTGGGATCCGCTAGAGTCATCTTCGTTTACTCCTCGTGAACTGGAGGTCCTTGACGCGATTCGGGCAGAACGAAGACAACGAGAAGCCGCTACCTCGGGCGGAGGACCAACCACGACCGAAAGAAGAACTAATACTTCGATCTGGCGTGATGATCCGTCATCCCGCTTAGGTGGAGCAGGAGCAGGAGGAGACACACAGCGGTCGTCTGGGAGTAGCGAGCAATCCCGCGAGCGCGGCAGTGGATTGAGAACCGCTCGCGATACCAGGGACTTATCTACCTACCGCGAGTACGCAGACTTACTTTACGGGATCCCGCCTCGCGCAGCTACATCGGTACGAGCTTCCGCCAGCACCGGCGGAGGTGCAGCCGGTAGTGGTAGCAGCGGTCGTGATGGACGAAACTTGCGAGCAAGCATAGCCGCATTACGGGAAGCAACGGACGAAGCTACCGCCGCGGACCATCTTCGCGTCATCACCGCCATTACTAGGTTAGACAGAGGAGGAGACCGAACGACGCACCCACCTACCCGACCCGCTGGCAGCGGTAGCGGTACTAGCAGTAGCCAAGCCCAGACTGCTTCAGAAGCAGCAGCAGAGAGGCGAGCTCTCAACCTCTCCTCGCGCATCATAGCGAACCCAAGCTTATTGTCTCCCACCAGCAGAAATACCACATCAAACACTAGTGTCAATGCTGCAGCCACTCTGCAACAGCTCTACTACACCCTTCACCTCGAAGACACGCTCCCCTTTGACAGCTTCAGCAGGACACTGCCCGATCTCGACTCCACCCGCAGGCTGCGCGGCGCCCATGCCTCGCTGCGCGAGTGGGATGATCATCCGACCAGACGGGCGTTTGGCGCGCTATATATGAGTAGACGGGAGCCCGATCCGCATGATACTGCGGGGTTGTGTTGGAGTGAGGACGGGAGGCTTTTGTAAGTTTTATCCCCTTTTTGTGGTTGTCAATTGTCGATTGCTAATTTGTAATTTGTAATTTTTTACAGGTTCGTCGGCGCCGAAGATGGGATTTACGAGTTCCATGTGAATCTTTTGCAGAGGAGTTTATTTCCTAGTATGGACTACCGTTAGGTTTGACACTTTGGGATGGTCCTGACTTTTGTTTGTTTTTTTACTTTCTTCCTCTTTCGGGCGTTGTGTGCGGCTTGGTTGGTGAACTTGATGGGAAGGGAATAAGGCGTTTTCGGCACAACTCATTTCACTTTGACCCCTTTGGGGGTGAAAATGGACATACTACCTTTCGATAATAACGAACCACCAACGAACATGGGACGTGGGACCGTGGGCGCAGTGGAAGAGAGTCTCTTCAAGTTGCTCTTGGCTAAAATGATGATGGACTATCAAGACGGCGCACACGTACGGGAAACCTTTGAAAAGGTAATAATGAGGATGTTTGAGGTTGGGCTTGGTTGATGGAGGGCGGCTACAAAATTGTTTGGGCAACGGATAACCTGGTAGCAGCAGTTCAACAAAAGGTAACCGAGTTGGGGAGAGATTGATATGTATGGTGTTATCCAAAATAGTTCTTAACTCCTAAACAGGTAATTGAATACTTACAGTCACAGTCAAACTTCATCTACACTTATCGTGACATGAACGTGACCAACTTCTCTAACGAGCCAGTTCAGTTCCTGTTGTTGCCTATCAGTTGAAGTTGGTTAAGTAGCCTCAGACTGTATTTGTTCTAATGTGGTTTTCGTACACAGGGCCTTATGTAACATTTTCTATACTCAACAAGGGGCTCAATCCTCCGAGTGTCCCGACTTAATTTGTAACTCGCCGTGGGGGTCTCGAATCGAGTTTAGTTGGGTTGAGCCAAGTCGCCTTGGTTGAGTACTAAGTTGAGTGATTCCAAGCGCTATACGAAAACCGTAGAGAACGAACGCGTTCTTGAACTCCAACAAATATTGAGTTCAAACGCCCAAAGTTTTCATCGACAAGGTGATATGAACTGGTCCTAGTTTTGATTATTATCCACTACCCCAAGTGCATGCGTAGCAAGACAATAGTAATAATGAGAATAACATTACGGGTTTGCAATGTCCCAACATATAGAAATGCTATGTATGTATCTCCGGTTCTAATTCAATCTTTGCATTCCATTTCATTTACTTCAGCTTTCCACCAAAAATCCCCGTAAAACGAACTGCAATGGAGGGAGGTATTATCCGCCAATAACGCCTGTAAGCCACCAACCAGTCCTGTCCTGTCCTGTCCTGTCCTGTCCTGTCCTGTCCTGTCCCCGAAAACAAGAAACTGGCTTGTCTCCCTATTTGTCGCGGGTACTCCGTAGGTTTCACTTTTCTAGAGTAGGAGTTGGGGTCCTGATAGACAGGATTCAGAAATACCTCACGACTGTCCGTGGTGCCAGCTTGAAGACCCGAGGCCCGACATAATCTCGGAAACGCCGTTATCAAAAAAGTATCGTTTCTTCCTTTGAAGCATAACCGTGAATGAGAAATTTTAAATCTCACTCGAGCAAGCCAGAGCTCACTCTGGGTTCTGTGTTCCATCACTCAACAATCGCTTCCTCCTGGTGCTGCTGGGCAGGGGCAGTCATCTTGGGACGTTCTACGTCTGAAATAGACGTGGACCGATGAAGACCTGACGCGTGAGTAGGTTCATGAGTGTTAGCAACGTCTTTCCCTGATGACTCGACTAGTTGACGTTCTGCACAGCGAGTTGTTAGCAAGAATCATCCTTTCGATCATAGCGTTGGGACAGCGGTGGTAGTGAAGAACATACCCAATTCACGAATGCGATGCCTCAACATTTGATTTTCCCTGATAAGCATCTGCGTCTCTGCCTGATAAAAGGCACTCTCATCCTTTCCGCCCAGGGGCCACTGGTCCATACTGTCTGCACTAATGGACGTGGCGCGCACCCTAGGCGAAGCGCCTCTGCTCGGCGTTCTGGACCGAGCCTTATTGAGGTCGTTGCTGCTGCGGGGGAAGTCGAAGGAGCCGCGGGGGTGGGGAAGGAAGCCCGGTGACTTGGGGATGGATGTTCCGGAAATTCCTCCCATCTGTGGTGTTGAGCTGCGATTGGGTGTGTCCCGCCCGGAGTTGTCATCGCTGATGGCTCCGGATGAGGACTGCTGGCGCTGAAGCTGTGACTGTAGCCTTCGAATTTCGCTGAGCAGGCGGTTCACCTGGTACTCCTGCTCGTTCTCTAGCTCCTGGTGAAGCTCTCCGAGGCTAGGAGCCCGGCTGTGCTGTTGCGGGCGGCCGGGGATAGGCTGGGGGGAACTGACGGATGAAGGCTTGGAGCTGTCCGAGATCATTTCCCCAGGAGCGGGTATCGATGGGTCGTTCATCTGGAGGTTCATGAGGACTTGTGATTGGCGACGACCGGCGCTGGGAACCTTGGGGGCCTGGGATGCAGGAAGAGGGCTGATGGAAGAGCCTAGATAGGTAGCAAGTGTCAGCAGGGTGATTTTGAGGTCAATAGTTGGGCGTGGAGTGGCGAACTTCGTAGTGAATCCTTGCGCTGAAGACCAGCGTTGAGAGTAGCTGCGGCCTGGAGGGAAACAGAGCCCGACCTTGGGGACGGCGAGGGGGATGTCTCTCTGGTCTGGCCCAGAGAGGAATGGGTGCGAATGGACGACGACATGCCGATACTTTTAGGTATCTCGAGGTTTGGTGTTGATGAAGAGGGGGAAAGAGAAGCGTCTGGATTCAAGCTCATATTCGCTCCGGAGCTCGACTGGTAAATAGCTGGGCTAAGCTATTAAATGTCGTATATAGGGACGATCGGGTCGCGTCGGCAAACGGAGGCGGCCAGGTGCAAGCGTAAGGGCACTCTCTGAGCAATCGATGCGGTGTTCGGATCAAACAGATTGGCCGGTGAATAAGTTGTAAGATGCCGTTAACGGAGTTCAAGAGCAGGTCTCGACCGCGGAGGTGTCAGATGGCGACGGCAACAAGAGGTGGCCAGTTGTTGCACGTCACAAACACGAGACACAGACGAGACGGAAGATCGAGAACCAATGGGGAGATCTCTAGGTAATACGAGACGTTGCGAAATGTTGAAGTGGAGGATAAAGGACAATGGTTCCGAAGATGGTCTAGAATCTCAATTGCACCCAAGGTTCCTTTTTGAAAAGTTCAGAACGGCCCATGATGGAACAATCTTGATAAAGCCGTTTATGTGTGGAAGGTACTACGTACGTACGACCTATGCTCCAGCGGTTTCGATGCAATACATATATCGATGCTTGGCGTTGTCGAAGGTTCGCTGCAAGGAGCTGCTTGTCTTCCATGCCATCCCAGCATACATCGCGGCTGGGCGCGGGATAGCAGTTGTAACCACCTGTAACTTTTGTTGCACAGGCCACAGGACCCCTCTCAGGATCCCCGTTCAGGATCTGGCTATACAAAGACCTGAGTCGAACTTGTTGGGATTCATGCAAAATGAAGCAACCGGACTCTTTGCTGAGGTCAAGGTCAGGTTCGTGGCCTTTTCGAGGCATCGGGGGCGTCTAATCCAGCCGCGCTACTTGGCGAAACCCGCAGTTTACCCAGCATCAACCCTTAGAAAGGCGGTTATGCTCGGCCATCTGTAGAGTGACGTCGGTTCAAGGTCGCTCGATACTTAGGTACTTGATATAACAAAACTGGTCTCCGCGGAACCGGTTCGAAGTCCTATGTTGAAAACATGTCCAGCATACCCAAACATACAAAGATTCCTGACCAGATACTGAAACAGAAGGGCGAACGGGATATCCCATCAGGGTCCCAGCATGCGCTGGCTGTTTGAGACAAGGGCAGCAGGGCATCACGAGAGGACATGACTGGTATCGAGATCATGTGCTCGAAGAGAAACCGACGGTCGAGCCATCATGTATCCATAAAACAGGCAACCACAATCGTCACCGAGGTGGAACTTGGGTTCTCTTTCACACCTGAACAATGCTTGAACCCCGAAATTCTTCTTTTCTACAGTACACCCCTGGAGAATTTGTTAGCTCGATACCGTTGGTCACCTTGTCCAGGCGTTTCCAAATACAGCTGTTCTAGGACGTTTGAGGTACCGGGCTAACAAACAAACAAACCAGCATTAGATCGGTCAAAGCATCGACGTTGGCGAGGAAATGCGGAAGCCAGCTGACGTTGGAAGATGATAGAAAAACATAACAAAACCTTTAGCATGTGAAGTCAAGTATTCTGACTTGATGTGAAGTTGCAGCCATGCCAAGTGAGGTCATGTTCTGATACTGGAATATGCCAGATGACAAAACTGCAGTGAGCGGCATGGGTGGACGGGTGTAGATGCGGGAAAGGCCGTAACGCCGCATCTCGGATTCCCCACACTGTTGAACTTGCCCGGACAGACCCGACCTCCGATGGCGCCGCGGCGACCCGACTTCGGAGGACGGGATTATGCGCACGACCGGCCGCAACTTGTCTCCGCAAAGGGTCCGTGACGCGCTGCAACAAGCCTACAATACGTAGTAACAGCTACCGGCAAACTTTCACCATGACACTCATCCTTACACCACCAAAAGGTCGAGTCACAGCAGCGACAATACGGAATGCAGTTACGTCATCGGTTCTCCCAATAATACGGACTAGTCATCACCATGGCAGGCTCCGTCCTTTCTCCCACACCTCCGCCTCGCACGCTGACTTCACCCACGCCGTGATAGGCGGCGGCGTAGTCGGCCTCGCCATCGCGCAGCAACTAGCCCGGCGCTCTTCCTCCCCTTCCACCCTCCTCTTGGAGCGTCACTCCGCTGTCGGCACCGAGACCTCCTCGCGCAATAGCGAAGTCATTCACGCCGGTATCTACTACGGCGCAGGCACTCTCAAGACGGAGCTCTGCATTCGAGGCAAGAACTTGCTGTACGAGCTCTGTGAGAAGCACGCGGTCCCCCACAAGCGCGTGGGCAAATGGATCGTCGCGCAGAATCAGGCCCAACGCGAGGCGCTGCAGCGCATCCATGACTTCTGCGTCAACGAAATCAACGTGCCCGTGCGCTGGGTGTCGCGTGAGGAAGCGCAACGTCGTGAGCCGGCGGTGCGCGCCGAAGCTGGGATCTTGGAGTCTCCGACGACGGGCATTGTGGATTC